CTCCATTTAAAGAGTCCGGTTGTGCCATCAGAGAGCTTTTTAGTTGGCGGCGGAATCTTTCAACCATACCATTAGCTGCCGGATGATAAGCTGTCGTTTTAACATGATTTACTCCAAGAAGTTTAGTGAACTCGTTAAATAGGACGGACTGGAATTGGGGACCGCGATCTGTTGTGATTGTTGATGGTACGCCAAAGTTGGATATCCAGCGGTCGAGGAAAACTGAAGCCACTGTCTCTGCCGATGTGTCTTTAATGGGGCATGCTATGGCCCATCTTGTGAACCTATCTATTGCGGTGAGGATATGTGTGAAAGAGTTTGATGGCGGCAGAGGCCCAACTAAATCTAAATGCACGTGCTGAAAGTGTTTGTCAGGGATAGGGAACTTCCCAATTGGACTGTAGGTGTGTTTTTGCGTCTTACTGCGTTGGCACTGGAGGCAGCTACGTGTTCAGCGTTTAACATCCGAGTTGATTTCCGGCCACAGAAAACGTTCGGTAATGAGCTTTGTTGCTACTCTGATGCCAGGATGTGAAAGACCGTGCAAGTGCTGAAATATTTTCCGTCGGCAAGCGACAAACGGACAATTGTTGCCTGTTAAAGTGTCGCACATGATGAATGCATCTGAAAGAGGAATTGGTACAGGTTTGAGACCTAAGCTAGACTTTTCTTTGCAGACTTTCAATTCTGCATCGTCTGCTTGTAATCTAGCCAAGGTTTCAAGGCTGATGTCATGATTGAGTACCATCGTATTGATATCCCTCCTAGATAGTGCATCTGCAACAATGTTCGTGTGACCTTTGATAAACCTGATGTCTGTGGTAAATTGGGAGATATAACCAAGTTGTCTTGCTTCTCGTGGGGGATGTTTGTCATACGATGTGCTAAAAGAATGGCAAAGGGGTTTGTGATCTGTCATAATGATGAAATCACGACCCTGTAGCAAAAAGTTGAAATGCTTTACTGCTAAATACATAGCTAAGAGTTCGCGTCCAAAAGTGCTATAACGTTCTTGTGCTGGCAATAATCTCTTGGAGAAAAAGGCAATGGGGTAATCGTAATGTTTACCCGCTGTTGTAATACTGCTCCGACGGCTTTTTGTGAAGCATCCGTGCATAGGATCAACAGTGTTGTGGGGTCAGTATCTAGGTGTTGGAGCATGGTAGCATTAGCAATCATGAATTTAGCTTTTTTAAATGCTACTTTGGCATCGGAAGGTAACTTGAAAATTTGGTTCTTTTCTTTCTTGGTACCTGATTTATCGTTTTCCAATAAATCTGTCAATGGCTGTAGTACATCGGCACAATTTGGTAGAAATCGTCGATAAAAATTGCATGTCCAAAGGAAACGACGCAGTGATTTTACTGTGGTTGGTTCTGGATAGCTGGAGATGGCTTTGACTTTTTCTTCAAGCGATTTAATTCCTTGGGAATCAATGTGGTGTCCCAGGAATTCCAGAGATGAGGCGCCAAATATACACTTCGAAGGGTTGATTACAACACCATAACTTTTGAAACGTTCAAAAAGCGTGTGTAAGTGCTGAACATGTTCTTCAGTAGAAGAGCTAGCGATTAAAACATCGTCGATATAGACAAACACAAAATCCAAACCTCTAGTTACTTCGTCCATAAATCTCTGAAAAGTTTGAGCGGCGTATTTTAGTCCGAAAGGCATCCTCAAGAATTCAAACAAGCCAAAAGGTGTGATTACGGCTGTTTTCTCGATATCCTCAGGTGCCATCGGTATTTGATGGCATGCTCGGACTAGATCTAACTTTGAAAAAATCTGTTTTCCATGCAGATTTAAAGAAAAATCATGCAGATGAGGGATCGGATACCTGTCTGCGATAGTCTGGTTATTCAATCGGCGCTAATCTCCACATGGGGGTCAGTCTTGATCTTTCTTGGGAACCATATGCAGCGGCGAGGCCCAGGGACTGCTAGATTGTCTGATTATCCCAAGTTGCATCATGTGTTCGAATTCTCTCTTTGCGAACTGCAACTTGTTTGGAGGGAGTCTTCTCGCTTTGGCGCGAATGGGTGGTCCTGTAGTAGTGATACTGTGTTGGACATGATGTCTGGAGTGTTCGCTTTGATAATCAGCTCTGGTTATACTTTCGTACCTCGACAGGATATCGGTGAAAATTTTGTTTTCAGGTCTTAACATACGGACTCCATGAATTTCGTAACTGGAGATAGTTGTGCCACTGACCTGTAAGCTTGTGTATTTGTCGATTAGTTTCTTTCTCCCCATATCTACGAGTAGGTTGTAAGCACCGAGAAAGTCGGCCCCGATAATGGGTTGTTTGATTTCAGCTACGATGAAAACCCATGTGAAACGTCTCCGGAGACCGAGATCTAAGATAAGTGACTGTTCGCCATAAGTTTTAATGACTGTGTTATTGGCTGCGACTAGAGACAATTTAGTACTCCGAGGGTGCCGTCGTTGAGAGAGGTGTAATGGAATAATGCTGATTTCAGGTCCTGTATCGACCAAAAAATCTGAGCCCGAAATTCGATCCCTGACATGAAATAGACGGCTCGGGTAGTGGCCAGAAACAGGCGCCGCCATCACTTTCTGGTCGGGCCGTTTCCCTGATTCTTTGTGTCAGCCGCAGAAAATGTGCACGGTCGTGTGCAACGCCGTGCTTTGGTGCCGTATTTTTGGCGGTACCAACAAACTTCAGATGTTCGCTTCGGTGACCGAGACCGTTGTCTGGAAAAAGATCTTCGTTTGGAGGGGGATCTCAATTGTCTAGCTTGGGTGGTTGCTATGGTCGATTGCAGTGACGCTAGCTGGCTCGTTAATTGGGTTAACTGTTTTTGAAAGGAGGCTAAACGACTGATATCTGCTGGTTCAACTGCTTGTAAAGGGTTTACACAGTGATTGTCGTGGTATACTTCCATCATTTTATCCGCCATGTCGGCTAAATCGTCAAGGGCGACGGATGTCCCTGAGACACTGAGAATTTGTCTAACGCTATGTGGTAATCTTCGCAACCACATTTGCTTCAGAAGGACTTCGTCTGACTTGTATGGACCTGCAAGTTGTTTCATGTGGCGAAGAAGCTGGGAGGGCCTCTTGTATCCCAAGTCACCAGATGTTAGCAATTGTTGCAGCCTTTTCTCATCTCAGACCGATGTACGTTGAATTACTGCTGCCTTTATCTTATCATATGGTTCGGATTCTGGCGCGTGACCGATTAAATCCCCGACTTCAGCGGCAATCTCAATAGGAAGTGCGCCAACTACATATGCATACTTTGTTACCTGATATCTTATGCCTCTAGCCATGAACAAAGCTTCAATTTGAGCAAACCAGACTCTTGGGTTATTAGCTCCATAAGTTGGGAGTCTGAGTTCTGAGATAAAATTAACTGAACTAAAATTATTTTCAGGAGAGTTCGACAATGAGACAAAAGTTGTTACTGGAGGCGAATCCATATCAATGAGTTCAGTGGGAGAGGACATGACGAGAAAAAATAAACCAGTAACTTGTATGAAATGATAAACAATATAACAGTTAGGATAAACACGAGGATCACCAAATAATTGTGGTGGACCAGACGATATATAAACGCAAAAAGTATCAACAAAGTTAATAAAAAGCAATAGTAATATTAATATATACCAGTTAAATGTTACAAATACAATTAAAACGGGACTTTACTTAAGTTCACCCAAAATGATGCGTGTTCAGCTTTAGTCTGATACAATTAATCCACAATTATAAATGCTTGGTAATTCCAAACGTGTCGATGAACTCCCCAGTGGTGTAATCCAAAATAAGGTATGGTGTATTCGCTCTCACAGTCTATGAATGTAAATAATATCTGTTTTAGATCTCATTTAACTCAATCTCGAATGAAAATAGAACGAGGAATGTGTGAGAAGCAGTGTATTTGTTAACCAGCAACGATATGTCACGCTATGTAGTATCACAACGGAAAGTGTTCAAGGTCATTTACTTAAACAACAGGTACAATCATTTAATGATAAATGTACATGTAGTGAGAAATTGACAAAATAAATACAAATAATATTAAAAACTATTTACAAAATAAGCTTGTCAGACCTACCTCAACATTATGTAAATGAATTACCAACTATAGCAAAATTATCCATTCTACTCTTCACTGATGACATAAAAATCTGGAGACCCATTCTCAGTATGTCGGAGTCGAGCAGCGAGTCCTTGTTTCAAGTGTGAAGCGGATATGCTGGAAAGAGTCCAACGACGAGGTACTAAGATGGTAAAAGATCTATCTGGCCTATCTTATGAAGACAGACTGAGACACCTCAACTTATTTCCGTTATCTTACCGTGGAATACGGAGTGATCTAATATTGGCTTATCGCATACTGAACTATGACCTTGGTATTAACATGTATTATCTCTTACTTCCGTCTAGAACTGATTATTTGAGAGAACATTCGAAGAAAGTTCTAAAACGGAGTTTCGTTTCTCGCACCGAGTAGTGACCCAAGCTCTAAACTCTGGGTAAATTTTGGGGAATTTTCGGAAGTGAAATAGCCTTCCCCAAAGTTTGGGGAAATTTTGGGGTTTTGTGCCATTTACTCAAAGTTTACCATAACGGCTTCCCCAAAATGTGCCAAATTTTCCCCGAAATTGGGAGCTTGGTGAGTTAATGGGATTCTCTACCGGAACACGTCATATCAGCACCTCCTGTTGATATATTCAAAATGAGATTGGACCTCCACAGTATTACAAACTGCAAGGAATAATATAGGTCGATAGACCTCCTATCCTTAATATGAAGACTGAAGACTGGCGTCGTCCAAGGGTCGTCTGTAAATTGGTCTCACTGTTTTTAGTATTATTTCTGGCTAAAAATGCAACGAGAAGCTTAAATGCCTTTTATGCAGTAGTCTTCTGATTATTTTCACGATTTACGTGACAGAGAATTTAATTGTTTATTTGTCCCTCATTGTGACGTCCTTTCTCTAGGTCAAATGTTCGCAGCCACTTAGCATCTGTTTGATGCGGAGGATTGTTGAGATTCCTAGGTCGCCTGGTGGTTATGGGTTTCGTTTGAAGAATGAACGTCCTTGCCTCATAGATCATGTTCTAACTGGGTCTAATGCAGAAAAATCAGGGGTTAGGGTTGGTGATATATTGCTCAAAGTGAACGGTGTGAATGTTATTAGTGCTACTCACGAAGAAGTTGCCTCGTTGATTTGGCGATGCCATAAAAAGTTATTCATTGAGGTTTTCCTGCTTCAAACTGTAATATATCTTTAGGTAGAGTCACAGGAATCAAGGTCTAGCCAATGTATCATTGGTTCTTTAGAATCCAGTCATCAGGATTCACACTGCATGATTAGTTCGGAACACAAAACTTATAGCAGAACAACCTCGGTGTTGATTTATGCAGGTTGTGTATCAGTGCCTACTGATTTTAAGTCACATACTGAAGAACTTTCAATTCTAAGGAGGAAAACTAACTCTGTGGTTAATAAAATACATGTCCATGCGATATCAATATGCTTGGTCGATATCCGTTTAGGTGTTCTCCAGGTTCACCTTCATGACACATACACTGCAAAATACCCGGTTAGCTGTTTGCACTCGGCTGGTCATGTTGATTCCGACGAAAAGTTTCTTTACATTGTTACTCGCAGTAAGAACAAAGGTAATGCTAACACGATAAAAGTCAATGAGAACCGTGGTGAGTTTTGGTTATTCATTTATATACGTATCCATATTTTTACGCAGATTTTCAGCATAGCCCCATTCCTATCTTTTTGACGTAGAGTATATCATTAAATTTTAAGCCACTGTCCACTTCTTACATACACATAAGTATTTTTCGTTAGGTACTATTGTTTAGCACGTAGTTTCAGTTTTTGGGCAACACGCTTTTACAAAACGTTTAGCATTGCTATAGTCATTTAAAATATGTTCGGAGAGATTAAAGTCAAATCTAAGTAGGAATTTTGCGTTGAATTATGTTGTTCTCATGCATTTTTCCACAAGGCGCTTGCGCATTATGAGACTTAATATTCTTTTATTGCATTCATACACTCAATCGTTGATAAAAAAGTAGGATTTCCTATTCGTTTTTCCTACTTATCTCAGAGAACTATCTTGTGGTTTCTGTTTGCTGACAAGTGGACTGAGTCATGTTGGTAGGTGTAGACTACCTGGTTGGGGACCACGAGATGATAGCAACCGATGGTTAGAGACCCTGAATGACATGGCTCAAAATCGTTTGCAATGGCGCAGGTGCATCCACTCTCTGTGTTCTCCCAAATTCTAGTCTTCTGAATTCTTAATGTCCCTTTTTTTCCTCTTTCCAGATTTATTTCACTGGATTATACCCTTTAAATAACATCTCCAAACCCTAATTTTCCCGATTACTGCTTATACTCTTACCGCCTCTATCACTACGGGATTTGAATCGACAACTGCATCTCTGTGCTAATGTGGTGTGGCAACTCGAACTGATGTACGTACGTACGAAGTTCTACGTTGTTACTGACTGACTGACTGTTTGCTTTTAAATGGATTCTCAAGGGTCAAAGGATCCAGTTTTCAGTCACTGGGTCTCAGGTTCGATCTCCGCATCACTTTAATATATTTACTGTGTGTATAAAAATATCGTCATTAGATAAAACTTACTCCTGGCACTGCTGAGACTAAGGCTATCAAACCCTTGGTATAGATGAGTGTTTGTCATTTAATGTTAGTTCTAGAGTCCTGCAAAAAGGCAGTTCCAACATTCCACATGTTTATTATGTCTATGTAACCTGTCTTGATCTATAAGCCTAAAGTAACATGATTTCTCAAACTACTCTTTTCCAAGGAAAAAATGCTTCTGTTAAGTTAATGAACTGTCATGTATTCAGAACACTACCAGCAAAATTTTTATCTCATTCGGGTCACATAGCGATTGCAAAGACGTTTGGAATAAACTGTTCATATGACCGCTTGACTGGCGAGTGCTGTAATTTCCCTTCCAGCACTACTTGTGCACTATCCCATTTACAAACTATGCTGGGGAATTCAGGATTACAAAGCACTATGAATATTGGAGATCTTCGGAGCGTTTCACGACGAAGTTCCGAAATATATCACAGTTCAGCTGATATTTCTTCGACAGAATTTCACACGAAATCAAATTCATTAGCAATAAGTTTCCAGGATCCAAACCATCATGCTAATCAGGTAAATGTTTCTTAATGTCATCCTGAGGACTCTTTAGTGGAAAAATACTTTTCGGTAAAATAATTCGTAATTACTTTAATGTACTTTTCGTAAATTTTTTAAAACGATGTAAATGGATACTGCCTTTATCTCAATAATCTGTCAAGTATTCCAGTAACTTTCATTCATTGTTGGACCTGGCGCGCACCTGTTTCAGGTTAAGTCAATACATAATTGAACTCCAGTCAAAAAGACCAGCGGGGTAATATATACATGGTTACTTTGTTGCTAGCTAACTACGCGTGAATCAACATATCACCATTAACCATATTTTACTTGTTAGAGTGAGAATAATTTGTAGCAGTGTAGAATAAATGAAGTAGCTAAGAGTGAGTGTCTCTATCTTCAATTTTTTCATAGAGAGTTGCAACTCAACAGTAATTGCTTTTAGCTTCTTAAAGGCAGATTTCTAAGTGTGCCTGGAATAGTAGAATAGTGGCTTGTTGTTCCAAACATTCTTTCGAATAATAGGTCACAGGTTCGAATTTCGATATATCAACCATGATTTATTTTTATTTGAATAATTTAAAGTGTATTTTCAATGCTTAATCTTTTCTATTACCACTAAAACTTTTGTTACCTTCACTCCTTCGAGATTCGCTCTGGCAATTTGATCTTTTTTATGCTTACGGGGGTATGGTGATTTAAACCGACTCGCACGTGCCAAGTTCTGCGTTGTGTATGACTGACTGGAACTTTAATACTTGGGCAATACCACTATTCCTCACGCAGTGGTTGCTCTAAACCGAATACCCGAACTCGTAGTTGGCTATTGTATGTTGAACTGTGCTATTTTAGTAGGTGTAGACTATCTCAAAATCCTCGCGATTACCGAGACTAGCAGTTGAAGATTCAGGGTATTGTAGTTCTTGATCTTGAATTCCAGTTTTCCTTCATACATTCCTTCCCAATCTTTCCAAACCATATTCCCGTCACTTAGCTTTACTAACTTTCACTGCTACTACATTATTTCTGCCTCTCTTATATTTTGCATTTCATTTTATTTATGTGATTTTGGCAACTTCAACCAATACACGACTGTTTCAGGCTCCACCTTGATTATGACTAGTCAATATACTAGTTATCAGTAGAGTCAACATTATGTTTCGTCTTATCTTAGAATTTTCGATTCGTTGTATTTAAATCTGTTTTGATTCTCTGACCAAATATATGTATGATATACTACTAGTTACAAAATGACAGATTTTTCATCATTAATATTCCAAAAGTGAATTGACTGATCCAAATAGGGTTTTCCACGTAATAAGACTACAGTCGAACCCAGATAGATTCATTAAGTTCTTAATGTCAACGAAAAACCACTACAACTAATTCGTTGTTTTGTTGGCAGATAATATACATGAAGCGGCTTATTTGTTAATCTATGAGTATCAGGATACTTATATTACAAAGGTTTGGGAGCTAGAGAGTGTATCAACGTCATGGAATGAGTCGATAGTTGTCCCTATCTTTAAAAAGGGTTCACGTCGTCTCTGTAACAACTATCGAGGGATAAGTCTACTTCCGATTGCGTCCAAGCTATTGGCTTCCGTCATAATTGATAGACTGTTCAAAACCCTAGAAAGATTGGCTCGCGAGGAGCAGGCTGGGTTTCGTTCTGGTCGAGGATGTATTGATCATATCTTCACCCTCCGCCAAATGTTAGAACACCGCCATACTTATCAAAGGTCAACAATCGTAGTGTTTCTTGACATCAGGTCTGCCTTCGATTCGTTGGATAGGACTGTTCTCTGGGATTGTCTATTGAAGATGGGTGTGCCTGAGAAGTTTATTAACATCCTAAAAGCCCTGTATAAAAACACCTCAGGCAGAGTGAGGACATAGAACCACCTCTCTCCATTGTTCCATTCAAGCAGTGTAGTTAGGCAGGGTTGCCGAATCTCACCATTCCTCTTCAACTTTGACATCGATGACATTCTAGAAACAGCTCTGATGGATGTAAGTAATGGTTGTGTGGATCTGTTGCCTGGAGAAAGACTTCTCGACCTTGAGTATGCGGATGATATTGTCTTATTGTGCGAGAATGTCCAAGGCATGCGATCCGCACTTAATCAGTTGGAAATCAGTGTCCGTAGGTATGGTATGTGCTTTGCACCTTCGAATTGCAAATTACTTCTACAAGACTGGCAGAATTCTAATCCTGTACTCACCCTGGATGGTGAGCAGATAGAAGTAGTCGAGAAGTTCGTGTTTCTAGGTAGCTACATAAGTGCTGGTGGTGGTGTGAGTGGTGAGATCAATGTACGTATGGTGAAAGCCAGAGCGACTTATGCCAATCTGGACACCTTCGGCGCCTTCGTGATGTTAGTCTGGCTGTAAAAGGTCGGATCTACAAGGCGTCGGTGAGAGTAGTTTTGCTCAATGCTTGTGAAACCTGGCCTCTCCGAGTTGAGGACGTTAGACGACTCTCTGTGTTCGATCATCGCTGTCTCCGAAGAATTCCTGACATCCAGTGGCAACACCATGTCAGTAATGCAGAGGTTCGGCATCGTGTGTTAGGGCACAGAGATGATAATGCAATCGATGTCACCATCTTGAAGCACCGACTTCGGTGGCTTGGACATGTTCTACGAATGTCGTCCCAGAGAATTCCACGTCGTGCATTATTTGCCGACTCTGGGACTGGTTGGAGAAAGCGGAGAGGTGGTCAGTGTATGACATGGTGTCGTGGTATGAAAGAAAGCTGCAAAGGGCTGGCTTGTGTTCGCCCTTCACGACTCCCTGGTTGGGGTCTGAGAGATGGTGCTACACAGTGGCTAGAGACGTTATCAGATATGGCTCAGAATAGAAGCCAGTGGCGATCCTGCTGTAACCTTCTTTTACTTTCTTCATAAAACGTGGTTGTATCTTACTTAACTGAAAGATTTCTTCTGATTGTACCTTTCCGTTCCCCCATTATTATTATTACTGCACTACCTTGCACCAACCTCTTCGTTATTGTTCTCTTTTTTTTGCACTCCTTACCTTTTTTTTCTTTCTCTTCGAATTCTCATTGTTTTGTGTGGCGCATATATATTGGCGCTCTCTTGTACCAACATTTATGTGTTCAAATAAAATAATAATAATAATAATAATAATAATAATAAGATAAAATTCAGTGGTGGTAATATATAAAAGAAAGATTGCAATAAGGATATAGTACAGGAAGAAAGAATTAGTTCGTAGAAAGAAAGATATGAAGCGATTTTAAACTCTTAGTTTAAGGGAAGACAGAAAGTGTATACATCTACACCATTGTGATCGATTCAGAGCCGTGTTACCAAGAGTCTCTAACCATGGTTACGATAGTCACGCGGACCCCAACCGAGTAGTCTGGATCTACCAACATGGCTCAGACTAGAAGTTGCTGTCTTCAAGCACTGATGCCACGTTTTGGTTTGGCCGCCCCCAACATTCTTCCAACCATCGCCAACACCGGTTAGCATTGCACGTCGTGGTAATCGGTGTTCAGGCATACGTAACACGTGGCCCAACCATCTCAGTCGATGAAGATTCACAACCTCATCAACTGATTTACCATCATTCCCTAATACCTTGTGTCTAACCTCACTGTTACTAACCCGGTGATCCCAGCAGATGGGAGCAATAGTTCTAAGACATCTGTGGTCAAATACTAGTAGCTTACGAGTATCTTCGACTCTTATTGGTTGGTGATATCCACTTAAAAATAGCATGTCCTGTTGCATCATTTATAGGCCACTCAAGGATATTTTAGGATCGATTCGCCTTGTTTATGCTGTTTATCGTTAGTCATAGATTACTCAAATTTGATTTCGAATGTAAGTGTCAATTTAGGTCTCTCTATCCACTCATGCTGAGTTTTTGAACAGTGCCAATTTTTAGTTGACAACTGATGTCTTGATTCAGTAATTAACTAGTTCATTTGTTTCAAATTTCCCTCTTCCAAATATATACAATTCTCTACTTGCAAGACATAATATCTCAGCTATTTCATTATTTCTTTCTCCTTTACCATATTTCCACACTTACAGCCTAAAAGATCCCGTAATTCTCTTCCTGAACCAATAAATCCTAACTTGATCTCAAAGTTTTTAAAGGCCACTTCATCTTTAAGTTCACGAATTGTGAGTTCAAAGAATTCTTTGGAAACGGTAAGTTCAAACGTTTTCGTCTTTACTGTAGTAAAGTGAACTAAACGATATTAGATCGACCTGAACTAAAGGTATTTGAATTTTGGTAATTTCATTTAAATCTTAAACATCCTTGTACAGTCAGACGTACCATTTCACAAGATTATCTTTCGGTGGTGGAACATGCTAACAAATACCATGAGCAGCTAGGAAACTAACTCCTTAAGTGAACCATAGTTGTCTGAATTTCGAATTTTTTTTTGTTTTTAACACACTGTCATTAGTGAAATACTCGCTTGTGTTCACTTTCCAAACGTCAATGGTACAGTTAAAAGGCTAGTTGAAATTTAGTAAATTATCTATGGATTCGATACTACAATCCTAAAATTACCATTATATATATACCAATCAAAATCTACCCATTAGTAGGTTGACATGTTATTGCACCAAGCCAATATATTGCAACTTCAGTCCCAACACTGGGAACAAGACTGCTTCTATCCTCTTCCTCCCTACCTCGCTATCTAGGGTGAGAAGTCGAGTTTCTTGATGGGAGCTCTGTTGATGATGTTTTTAATAACATTAAGAATACTTTTAAGTTGATCGATTACAATGGTGCACATGGGCTCCAGTATCCTGAAGGAAGAAATGGCGTATGAACCAATTGTTGGTCACGGCTACCATGGGAATGCTCCACTGCCTTGTGGACGAGACCTTCAGGTCGAAGGCTCGGGGAGTGCCCCTCTAAGAAAACAACCTGCTTCAGTTTGGGCACCTGGGCAGTGTCACAGCCCTCACACAAAGTGTGGCGCATATATATTTAGTGCCTCCTTGTACCAATATCTATGTGTTACAATAAATAAATAAGATAAAATAAGCACATAGCTTAATAAGAGTGTATTAGAAGTTCACAAAGTAAGTTAATGAAAATGTGTTGACAGTTGACCTTGTATTCATCTTAAATTAATATTAATTTCCTTCCTCACAAGCTGTTTGTTGGTATTTCACATTCACAACATGAGTTTTATCTTATTTTTCTGAGCACCGTTTAAGCGGATTAAAACATTTAGTTTTTAAGTAGGTACTTCACATTAATCCTTGCTAAAGGCGTAGTTTTGAGCTGATAAAGAGTGAAACGATTGGAAAGAATATTCATGTAAATTATACAAATAATAGGTGGTTTAATACATATCAGGATTTTCATTCTGCTTGATTTCCTCTATAATTTGAGGGTTAAAGACTAAAAATTCAAATTGAAAAGTATTGAACTAGCTGATTTGTCTATCTCATTATGTACTTAATGTTGTAAATTACCAGAAATTTGTTTTCGTTTCTAACGAACTGTCTATTTTGTTACACTTTATGTTGAAGGTCGTATTAAAATAACGTATATTACTTATTCAAAAAAAATTAAGTGGTACCAACATTAATCAGTAGGACATTTATTTATTTTTGTTTCATACTTAGGTAAAAACGAATTGTAATGAACAGCTACCAAAAATCAGTTGTTTTAGTTCTACTACTGAAATTGAAGATACGGAAAATATAGAGCCACCTAATGATCCGTCAAGTGCGTCATCAAATCCAATGTCATGGGCGAAAGATTTTGATAACCTTCTAAATGACCCTGTCGGTTGCAATGAATTTAGGGTAATTACGCTTTTTTCTTATTTTCTTTCACCATTCAGGAATCTAATTTAGGATACTGTTTGAAGTAGAATGTTGTTTAACGGTGATTGTTGTTAAAGACTGATTTTCTCTATTTAAACTATGAAATTAAAATTGTTTTATACTTTTCTTTCTACCAACTAATTCTTTCTTCTTGGATTATATTCTTGTACACAATCTTTCTTTTATATATTACTGCCATTGAACTAACTACTTCTATGAATTCGGTGTTGATCTTGTTGTGCTAATGAGGTGTGGCAACTGGGACCGGTGTATACATGTTCCTGGTCCTATGTTGTAGCTGACTGTCTGACTTATTCCAAAAAAAGTACAGCGCATTATATTCTAGTGCATTTCAACACAGGATTCTGATGTCTTTTAATTGTCGATTCATTGATTGTTGAACGTGTTGTGAAATTTTAGCGTAGGAAAATTTCGATCATAAAATATGGGTTTGTCACAAACCTGGATGTATGAGATATTAGCAACTTCCAAAATCACTATTCTTTCTTTCCACGGAAATAATGAATCATCCATGAATACATTCTCTGAAGTGTCTCTTTAATGATAATGTTATGCGGTGTTAATTGCTAATAGATATCAACTACGGACATCAGCTAAACGCAGGTATGGATCAGGAGAGACTGAGAAAGGTCAAAATGATAATATCCTCGTATTTTATCGGGCCGATTTTTATGTATGACGTTTCTTACTTTGCCACCTGTCATACCTTTATCAACTGCGGTGATAAATTTTGCTAATCAAATGAATTCATCCGTCAGTCAATAATCCACCTTTCTTTCGGATATTATGTCGGTATTCTGCTTGGTTTTATTTAACTTGTACATTTACTATAATCCATTGCTTTTTATAGAGAGTGGTGTTTTGTTAGTTCTACTTGTTATGGGGAATTTCTATATTTAATGAACGAAATTTCTATCGTAAAAATCGATGGAAGAAATGGTCGCTCGATCCATTATATGGAATGATGCCTTATGGTTGTGTGATGTCTACATACAATAACAATTTATGGGTTTAAACATCAAAATAGTTTGAAACTAAAGATAAGACCGCTAGCCAGAAGGACAGTTTTTTCTATGCACTAAGATGAAATATTCATTTACAAAACACCAGCACAAAATAACATGATGAAATGTCCCAGGTTATTCGAGGGAATCCGTTTGTAGGTCACTTACTCTCCAATCAATTAAAACCTTACGGTTAGGGGTAATTCGCGCTACTATGTCAATATGATACTTTGTAATTGTAAACGTATGTATTAAATGAATAAACCAATTTCTAGCATACCACATATTTCGCCCAAACGCTTGTCTCCTCACTTGTTTTATGACTATTTATTACTCAACTTCAGTGGTTTGTCTTTAAAATATTTGGTTAAGTTTCTTTGAATTAACTTAATACTTTTTTATCTCAACTTGCCGTTACTTTCTTTTCCTTTCAGAAATTTCTGATAACAGAATTCAGCAGTGAAAATCTTGATTTTTTGCTTTCAGTCCGTAGTTGGCGTCATTCCTTTGAAACCGGAAATGTAAGTTACTTTTATTTCTGTGATCTGTAATCGTTATTAATGATTGCTGTATAGACGTATATAGTTGGTTAGCAATGTTAAACTGTAAGACTTGTCCGTGTGTTCTTTTACTTGACTAATTAAGATCTGTTTGAATATTTTCAATCCCTTCAAAATTCCATTTTCCAACTCGGTCCGCTTAGTTCATGATCCTTTGTGGTTTCTCTTATAGTATTGACTCTAACGGAACAAATGGACACATTGAAGCAGCACGAAATATACCACACCAACTAATATAAGTTCATTTCTCTTGTAAACTACACGTAAATGGTTATGTAAATAACAAAAGCAATACACAACAGAATTTCCATTGACTTCAGTGTTGAGCTATATTTCAAGACATTGTTTTGTATGTACCACAGTATGTCTTTCACAAAGTCTCAATGTCCAAACATATGATAACATAATACAGCTATCGTTGCGCTGTGGGAACTCCAGATCCACTGTTTCTACAGAATCTCGGGGATAGAAATACACTTGTGATGATGCAAGAACTAGTCTTAATAATACGGTCCCTAAAATAATAGCGTCTTAAGTCATCTGATTCATCTAGATCCTCATTTTATGATACAAATCTGCACTGTTAATATCCAAATATCAGTTTGGCAAAAACACTGGCAAAGATTCACTGTAGTTCTTTATGAATGTAGCTAATAATTACTGGTAAAAAAATATGTGTTCTAAATCGACTTACTCTGATAACATTCTACCTCAGCTTTCAACTATGATATTGGCTTTTCACTAAATATAGATCAAGGAGAAGCCAAACGAAAAAATCGAACCACTCCACAAAGTAAATGACAGTTCGATTGAGGCATTTTGGTTGGCCAGTCTTTGCACTAGGGATCTGCGGGGTAGTTGTAATCTATGTTTAGAAATCTTCGGTTACTGATACAACGGACGGTTCAAAATATTTTTTCTCCCTCAAGTATACTAAAATAATACGTTAATACGGTAAAAAAAAACTAGTCACGTTATATCAGAACCAGGACTCACGATCCCGAATAGAGAACCACAATACAGACCAAACTACTTTATCCACACAATTACAAGCAGTCACTCCCAGTGAATCCGGAATAGAAATCCGTAACAGGAAAGGAAATCACATATTTAATATCCCGTACGCTAAGTATCTGTTTATTCACGTTCAATGGCCAATCATACTTTAAATTCACTACCCGACCGTTGTTGCTACCTTGGCGTGGTGATCGGGCTTGCCCATCGTGATGAAGCAACCGAGCTATACTGGCTGGAACAACCGTTCCCCAAGGTCCTACCATGACAGACAGGTTGGCTGAAGATCGGTAAGACTAAAAGCAACAAACCCAAGGTTCGAAGGCGAAGTCGTACTGCTGATGACTGTACAGAGGTGTGACTGCAGTAAGGTGTTTCCTTCAGACACCCAGCATGATAGCGATGCTGCCTTCTGGCAAGGAGGGGTGGGGTTAGAAAAGGTCGACTCTAAAAATGCACACCTCGCCTTGTCCCACGGATATCCGTCTCCGGCGGTAAAGTCTCAACAAGTACGGAGCTAACACAAAAATTACCCATAAAAAGGTCGTGTGTGACCGACCTCAAGCAGTTGTCCCTTGGGTACTGCGGTCACGCTCCCAGGTCACTAAGGCCACCTCTAATCCAATTTCCTTTTCAGGTACCTCCAGAACAACCCTTCCACGGTGTGGGCAACCGGGAAGTGATAACCGCCCTCATACCTCTAACAGCACTCAAGACCACCATACATCACCTTCCCCTCTAAATTTGCAGGTAGTTTTTTGTCCTGCATTCATTTGAGTGGTCAGCATTATGAAACCGGATATCTCTTACTCGAATTTGAGTCAAAACCAATGGCCCTGATGGGATAGAATTCATTATTTATCTTTCGACTCATGAGCTTGACATTAATTTTTTTGTTCTTATTCTGTGATCCCTTTTGAATATATCTTTCATGTGTATTTTTCGACTGCTGATTTATACACTCTCTGTGCTTTTCTAAATTGTGGCAACCGGGACTAAGAGATTTTCTTACCAATTTGCACATTATCTCGGACTAGCTGATTAATAGAAAAATAACCGTAGCACCCGTTACAATGTTCATATTATTCACGTTTATTTTTTTGGTGACCAAAGGTTTTAATTTCCGTTGTAATATCAATGTATTCTTTTCGTTTCTTGATTTCATTAAGGTGAAAAAGAAAGCAAATGAGATATTTAGTCAATTCTTGGTTTCTGATGCTACTCAAGCTGTAAACATAGATCACTTAGCTATAAAGTCTGCCTCATCTTGTTTATCACATCCTCATGTAGATATGTTCTTAGAAGCTGAAAATCAGGTAAATTAAAATCTAGATTATAGTGATAACTAAACGTCCTTATGTTTAGCAGGCTGAATTATATATACGATTTACTTTTATTCTTAAATCCTTCACTTTTATTCTACATAATATTCTTACCTAGATTCAAGTTCTCCATTTCAGTAACCTCCTGAAACGTTAACACTTAAAAATTTTAAGATCATTCAGCACATGTGACATTTTCATAGACTGATATATATTTATTCGTTTTAATTTAGAAAAAAAGAAAGCACGTCTTACTGCAACTTTTTATACAGTTTCCTGAAAATAGGTACTAAGTTATATTTAGGAAATAATATAACGAGTCCACAAAATCCGTATAATTCATGTTATTATTAGTGCGTTTGAAATCATTCGTAAAGATGGCACTTTTCTAGTTGACCTTGAACTGATATCAAAATATACATGTGCTTTTGCGAATAAGTCTGTGTTTGAACTTGAAAACTCAAATGATTTGATTACTGTATTGTAAAATATAATAACTGACTAATCGATCAATCACTTCAGCTTAAAGCTGTCAAAACAAACAAAGTAAGATGTTACTTCTGGATAGGTTGCGTCAGCCTTTCAATTAATGATAAAGAATAAAGTAGTTGAACGCATCGACCACTTTATTTATCTTGAGAGTCTCATCAATCATGATAGTATGGTGTCCGACGAAATCTCGGCACGGATTAGGAGGGCTCGATTTGGTTTCGCTGACTTGCGTCACTTGTTGTGTGGGGGAGAGATCCGTCTGCCAAACAAAGGGCGAGCTTACTGCTACACAGTAAGCTCAGTTCTACTTTATGGGTGTTAAACATGACCATCAAGAGTAGAGGATATTTATAGGTTACTGATGCCAGATCATAAGTGTTTCTGAAGCATTGGTCATATATTTTTGGACCACAGAGTTAGTAATGTCTGGGTTAGGAACAGGCTACTAGGTAAGGATATGAAATCGAATAACGAGTAAGTAAATCTTCATCAAATGAGACGGTTGGGATGTGTTACGTACCCCCAACCACCATCTACCTCGTTGGGCGATGCTTTCCGGTGTGAGAGTAGACTGGAAGAAAGCTAGGGGCGGCCAAACCAAAACATGGCATCAGTCCACGAAGTTGTTGGTAATTGAATCTAGCCATGTTGATTGGTGTAGACTACATGGTTAGAGACTGAAGGTCATGGTCCAAAATCGTTTCCAATGGTGCAGGTGCATCACTTCTTTGTCGTTCCCCTCAAGTTCAGAGCTCTTGAATGCCTCATAACTGCTTTTGTTTTCATATCACTGATTTATATTTTCTTCTTGAATCGTACTTTTGATCCCTAATCTATTACCACTTATACAGTTAGTACTTTTACTATTTAGGTGTTTTGCCTAGTAGTTTTATCTGTCTGTACTAATGGCGTATGGCATTTTGAAACGATGCACATATTTACCAGGTTCTACTTACTGATATACATATAGCAATGAATTTTATCATTTATGTGGAGCAGCTGATGGGTTCCATGTTCGGGTCGAGTCATTTTATTTGATTACTTGACATACGTTTACCGTTTTAGTTTTATCGATTCATTTATTTTGTTTATTACTTATTTGTCCTTATTATCTATAATGTATATTTTGTTCAAATTTCTAGGTATATACATTAATGAAAACTGATTCATTCCCACGATTCTTAGAGTCTTCGAACTATTCATCAATAATAAATAATTTCAATGTAAATAAATCTTCCCGAAAATCAACTGTGCTAAATCAATCTAAAAGTTTTAAGAACAAAACAGATGTTTCTCTAGATAGAATGTCTTCAAAAATATCAACAACTATTAACCGACCTGACAAAGACGATGGTAAATTGATATCATCGCAAGTAAAAAGTTGTAAACATGGCAGTTTTCAAGTGAACAAAAGTAAAATTGTAGTCATGCATAACAGTGATAAAACTGCTACTCCTAGTGCTGAGATCAAAGACAAATTGAATAAGGAATTTAATAATAATAGTTTCAAGTCAAATTTAATAAGATTAAAAAGTAAGTTCACTCGGTCTTTTTTTTTGTTAGTTTAGTTGCCATTCTTTTCAAAAGTAACGTTGGTGCCATAAGATATCTAGGGTTCTGTTTATAATTTATAGGGTGAGAAAAAGTATCATCGAATGGGAACTCAAGTAACTGTGAAATATCTATCGTATATTTTGATTTTCGTTTCTCAATACTCCTCGTATGTTAGTTGCTAGTACGTTATCAACAGTGCATGCTCAGAATTTTAAGATAGACTTTTACAACCACATCTAGATTTTTGATAAGATTAGAGTAAATTCAGTTAGTCGGTCAGGTTAGCTATCCCATCTCATAGAAAACTAACTCGCTAAAAAAACGACAACCACTCAGTAACAACATAGAAATTCATACGTACGTACATCAGTTCGAGTTGCCATACCACTTTAGCACACAGATAAAATTCTGATTCAAATCCCGTAGTGGTAGAGGTAGTAAAAGTATAAACAGTAATCGGAAACATTAGGGTTTGAAGATGTTATTCAAGTAGTATAATACAGTGTTATAAATTTGGAAAGAGAAAAAAAGGCCATGAAGAATCCAAAAGATTATAATCTGCGATATCACAGAGTGGATACAGCTGCACCATTGGAAACAATTTTGAGCCATGTCATTCAAGGTCTCCAACCATCGAGTGCTATCATCTCGCGGATCCCAATCAGGCAGTTTACACCTACCAACATGGCTCGGTCCGCTTGTCAGTGAATTCATGGATTTGTGCCATGTTTTGGCCTGACCGCCCCTAGCTTTCTTCCAACCTACTCCTACACCTTAAAACTTCGCAAGTCGAGGCAGTCGGTCGTTGAACATAATTAACACGTGTCCCAGCCACCTCAACTGATGAAGTTTCACTATGTCATCAATAGATTTGCCATCCTTACCTAGTACCCGTTTCCCAACAACTGCATAATTTACTCGGTGGTCCCAGGATATACGAGCAATGTTTCGAAGACATCTATGATCGAATACTAGTAATCCACGAATATCATTTACTCTTACCGGCCATGTTTCACTGCCATAAAGTAGGACGGAACGAACTGCTGCGCAGTAAACCCGTCCTTTGGTTGATAGACGGATATCTCGCCTATGCCATCAATGTCAAAAGCTAGTCGAGCCTTCTGTATTTGTGACACACCATACTACAAGGGCTGATGCGACTCCCAAGTGAAGCGGTCGGCACGCTCAACCACTTCACTCCCTATCATTAGTTCGGGTGTCAATGCAACCCAATCCTGAAGCAATATTTTGCATTTCGAGGGAGAGAATCTCATCCCGAACATGCTTGCATTGTTGCTTAGAGTGGTCAGAAGACTCTGCATTTTGTCAGCGTCTTCGCCAAATAAAACTACGTCATCAGCATATTCTAAGTCAACAAGTGAACCTCCCGGTAGAAGTTCAACCCCTGGAAATCTAGACGAGGAAAGTGTTATCTCTAGAAGTACGTCAACGACAAAGTTGAACAAGAATGGAGAGAGTGGACAGCCCTGACGAACACCACTTGAGGTAATCAATTCTGATGACAGTTCACCATAAGCTCTCACTCGACCAGTTGTGTTCGAGTAGAAAGCCTTTACAAGGTTAATGTACTTCTTTGGTACTCCTTTCAGTGACAAACACTGCCATAGAACCTCACGAACAATAGAATCGAATGCCGCCTTAAGGTCGAGAAATACTACGATTGTGGGGCATCTGAACGTGTGTCTATGTTCTAGAACCTGACGTAGTGTGAATATGTGGTCTATACAACCACGTCCACGTCGAAAACCGGCCTGGTTTGCTCTAGTCTGCTTTGGTTAAGCGTCGAAGTATTCTTAAAGTTAATATTTTAGACACTATATTAGTCAAACTGATTCCTCTGTGATTGTCACAAGAGGATTTTGTCCTTTCTTATAGACTGTAGCAATCACTGATTGAGACCAGTCAGATGGGATTACCTCCAGTTCCCAAATTCTACCTAAGACCTCAGTTAATCTCACTGCTAATACTGAACCACCATCCTTAAAAATCTCAGGAGTAAACCTGTCAGGGCCTGCTGCTGTCCCTTGCTTCAGATTTCCTATGGATTTTTCAACTTCGTAAAGAGTCGGAGGACCTAAATTAACTTGCCATTCGGGTTGACTGGAGATCGTGGGAAACCGAAGTGTGACTGAAGGCCAGTTGAACTGATCCCTAAAGTGTTCTGCCCATCGATCCAATCTCCTGGATTGAGAATGAATAATATGTCCATCTTTCTCTGAGATTGTTTCGCTAACAGTCGGGTTCCTAATACCGGTTTCCTTAACAAGTCTGAACAATTGTCTCCTATTACCTATTGCCGCTGCCTTTTCCATCTTTCTTGCTTTCGCTACCTACTATTGTTCACGACCATTGCGTAGGCTTCATATCAGCCTGCTCTTAAGCTGACTCCGCTCTTCGTTATGTTCAGATCCAGATGGACTGAGTTGTCGAGCATCTACCAGTGCGGTAGATGCTGCTGAGATCCAGTGTTTCTCCCTAACCTTCTGGTTTACAGTACTAGCAGATATCACTGCTGTTTCCACAGCTTTTCGGATATCATTCCATGCTGCCTCGGGATGGGGATCACATACATGGCTCCCTAACTGTTTTCCTAGTTGTTCCTGAAATATACTCTTAGCTCGACTATCATTAAATAGGACCGTAAGAGGTTTCCGTGCAGCGCACAAACGACGGTCTACTGGGATCCAGTCTAAGAGAGCTAGTTCTGCCCTAGGACTCACTGCTATACCTACACCAACGAGGCTACGGGAAGCAGCATTAAGGCTTCCAGATAAACGAAGAGTGAATAAAGATGTTTCTTTATTTTGATATGGTAAAATCAAATGAATGACGCTACTTTATTTGCGTTTCGGAGACCCAGCGCACATCGCTTCTAAAGTCTTAGCTAAGCAAGCCTGTTGTCCTATTTGGCACAGTGTTCGGACGTTAAAAACTCCTACATGTAGTGAAGAGCGTGGTTTCAGGAGACCAGGAATAACGTTCCGCCTATTCGGATCGTTTGCATTAGCAGCATGAGGTGATAAAGAAATGTGAGAAGGATCAGTCGTGGAGATAACAGAGTTATTAGGAGGTGTAAAAAGGATTTGATTGTGACCAACTTGGTGTCGTGTGCTGTTACGGGTATGAGGGCTGATATCACTTCCCGGCTGCCCACACCGTGGAAGGGTATTTCTTGAGGAACCTGAAAGGGAAGTTGGATTAGTTTTGGTCTTAACGACCTGGGAGCGTGACCGCAGAGCTCAAGGGAAAACTGCTTGAGGCCGGTCGCGCAAGGGCCTTTTGTGGAGAGCTTTTAACGTGTTAGCTCCGTTTTACAAAAGGCTTTACCGCCGGAGATCCGTGAGGTAAGGTGAGGTGTGACATTTTCACGGTCAATCTTTTCTAACACCGTGAGAAGGCAGCATCGCTGCAGATGCTGGTCGCCCGAGGGAAACACCTTACTGCTGTCAAACTTTGAAAAGCCTTAGCAACTATAAAATAGTAGAATAGTAAGTACTATCATGTGTAGTCGCTATTATTCACTTTTGACTTCATTTTTGCATTCAGCTTGGAAACGTATCAATTAGAAATAAATACTCTGATAGTTATAGTTTGGATTTTTATCAAACTGGTTTCATAATCACTGTTGGTAAAATTAACTAACCCTAGGCCGATCCATTGTACTTATTCATTTCTCACAAAAGCGCAGATACCTCATAATGTGATAATTTTTGGCTCAAAAAAGTAATTGATAACAAATTCCACTACATCACATGTACATTTATTGGAAGTGTTATTTTAAATCTAATTATGATTAGTGCTACATTCATTTTAATTTCAAATATAAATCACTATCGAATTAACTGAAAACTGTTAATCCGTCGATCGTAAAACTAACCCGGAATACTAACAGTATTTGGAGATCTATTAAGATTTTAAATTATTATTCCAAAGTAGGGAAATAAAGACTGAAAATCCTAAGCAACTATAAGCAGGGAAATGGGTATAAGCCAGTCACTTTAAAGTGTGAATGAGTATAAATCCAACATGTCTTTTTTTTACTGTAGGAATGTAACTGGTTATATCACTTATATCCTGGATCATCAGACAGTATATTATGTAATATTCAAAACACTAATGTCAGTGATTCTTGTCCACAGACTCCTAGGTGCCCGGACATTGTTGACTGCAAATTTTTCTGTGTCCAGTCACTTATATCTTGTTTGGAGTGTTAGTAGATATTTTTTAGCTATCTGTTCCAGAATATTATCAACAGAGCTTCAAACGACAGCCCTTTGTGAATCAACAACAGTATATTTTGGATGAAGATCTCTGAGGCACCACAGTTCGTTCGTTTTACCAGCGGCCGATTATTCAGTATTCCTTCAGTCCCGGTCAAAACTGTTGAAAAAGCGTCTTCACTTATTATTATTTGGGGTAGAAGTCGCTCAAGATTTTTTTGGCCACATACTCTCACTTCACCTCGATGGTTTGTCCTAGGCGAGCTAAATACCATTCGCATCCTCTTTCATCAGAATTATTCTTTTTCTTATTTTGGTCCCAGCCTCCAATAATCTTTTTTAGGCTAACAGTTGCGCTCATAAACCTCTAGCTGTCATCGCTAAATGTATGCTTCCTCCTCCAGCAATAAACCGTGACATAATACATATGAAAACGAGTCCGCGTTGAAAGTACCACCCTTTTCATTATTATGGATGTATCTAGTGGAGAGAAAAGTAAACAGGAACTTGTAACTTTTTCCAACTGCTCTCTTTTTCTTGGTGTAAAATATTCTAAAGTAATCTATACCCATCAGGTTGAATAGTAATAAACGGGCTACTCTAAAAAGAACAGTTTGAATAATATGTAGTCAAGACCTGTAGATAATATATTCTTAATGTAAATTAACCTTATTTTTTGGGCTAACAGCGGTTACTTTTATCGACCTACTGTGCCAAGCAGTTTTTCGGTTAATTATTTATTTACAGTTTGGAAAGCTTCAAGAAAGTGAAGACACTTTTTGATTAGTTTTAGAATTGCTGTTTGGCCACCTCACATTATATCACCTTGGTGAACAAGAATGGGTACAATAGTTGCTCAAATACAACCCAGCAGTGGATATTGTGGAAGTTATTTTTAAAGATCTTATTTTTACCCAGTTGTTCTGATATTATAAGTGCAAGTATGTGTGGTGGTCGGTATTCGATATATCCCTTAAACTTCGTATACAATTCGTCTTGATAACCGTCCTATTTAACCCCAACGGTATATTATTCAGAAGGCGAATACGAAGCGTTGATTACGTTTATTTCGAGACCACACACACAGATGTCCAAAATTACAGATGCATTAAACGAGCATTAAGAGTTGTGTCGAACGGCAAACAGGCAAGCGAGCGACTGAGCGAATGTAAGTGATCGAGTACGATCAAGCGAGCGAGAAAGCAGAGTCAACCATATGAATAACGTGGACATATATATAGCATGTGAAATTAATGAGTAATCGAATCAAATAAGCGGTTAGTAGTGAGACTAGCAGAGTGACATAAATGCGTAGGCCGTAAGCAATATTCAAGCATGCGTATTTCATACAAAGCACAAAATAATAATAAGGGTACAATAAATTGTTATAGTGCGGATGGCTTTGTCCGCTAAATAAGTTAGCAAAAGAGCTTAACTTAGTTAAATTAGAATAAACCCATTTGCACGTGAGTCGCTATATATGTTCAAAGGCACTAGTTTAACTCGAACAGTTTGCGGCGTCATGTAATGAATTTAATGTCAGTTAATTAAATTGACGCATCTATACTTCAATATAATATCTAAAAGCCTTTTCCCCCTACTAATTCTTAGGTATGAACGTGATCTCACGCAGTTCTAGGTACGTTTCAAATCTGTGGTAATAATGTGAAGTATATATACTCAGTTTTTATCATTGTTTTCTCATGAAGATATTGTCAAGTCCTTATATTTTCTGAAATTAAAACTTTGTCTTTGTTTAAAATAGGAAGTAATATTACCTATTACTTCACATCGTACCGTCCAGGAGTCATTTCAAAAACATATTACTGATTTACTGTAACGTCACATCAGTCATACAACTAACACATTCAAAATGATTCGAACATTCGCTATGTATGAGATTAATGCTATTTAGATGACTTTGATTACTGAGATGTAAATCCATTTTAATGCAAAGAACGATCTCCTACTTGTATTTCAGTAGTTTTCCAGTGATAAAAACACATTTAAGTACTAACTAGTATGATCAAGATAATGTAAACTACCTATTCAAAAAGTCAATGCTAAATCTATATTTATTCAGAAATCGATGTTATTTTATCTATTACAGGGTGGCCAACAGTCCATGTTCAATTTTAAGCGAATCTTCAAAACACAGTGAGTAATTTCAGTCGCTTTGTAAATATCGTACTGTTTATCGTTAATTGAATTTCTTTCTGTATTGCTGTTGTAATCTAAGTTATTTTTGATATCGAAATTCAATTCTTCCATTTATATTATTATTTTATAAGTCTCATTATATATATCATGAACATATGACAGGTATTTTCTGTCACTAAATCGGGTTTTTGTGCTTCCACAAATACTACGCTCATAAATGCCAAAAGCTGAGACTAAAGTCAGGGGATTCAGTGTACCTTTTTAATTGCTACGGTCTCCACTGTGTATTATTTCATGAACACATAGCTTCACTCGATTGATAAATATAAATGTTAATAAACCTAAATAACATAAGATAAAGTAGTAAAACCATTTTAGTCTATAGAATTTACACGTCAATATTCTCTATTTATACACTAGTCCTTACTAGGTAAAAATTGGACTGATCAATGTGTGTGAACGAGAACACGGGTGAGGATAGAAAATCTAGAAGTACTGGACGGCCGTTCTATCCTAGTATGAGACTCCTCAGCAGTGCGCACCCACGACTCCACCTCGCGAGATTCGAAACTAGGACCGATCGCGAACACATCACCTTTAGACCACAGAGCCGGTGGAGTTCAACCGGGTCTGTTGTGAGATAGTAACTCACTGAAGACAATGATGGGCGGTGGCGCAATTTCGTGGATTGTTTGAACCTAGACATTAACACCGTTGGATGCTGGCACAGTAGTCTAGAGGTTAAGTGTTCGCGCGCGAGACCGATATACCCTGGGTTCGAATCTCGCGAGGCGGGGTCGTGAATGCACACTGCTGAGGAGTCTCATACTACAACGCAACGGCCGTCCAGTGCTTCCAGGATTTCAATGGTGGTCTAGCTTCGATTGACTCATAAATTCAACTACTAAATTGTTATAATATCGACAAAACCCTTCTCTGATTTGAATTGAAGGCGAATTTTATCCATTGATAACCACAGAAAACGACATAATTTCTTTATTCGATCAGGTTCATTTTAATTGTCAGAGTATTAAATATCCATGTATTTTCTAAATGTTATTTTATTACTGGAAAATTTCTAATTCTTCCAGATTGCGTTGCTATTAAGAGATGTCGGTGAACCGAGTGCACGCGTGGTACCTATCATGCACAATTGAAAACTGTACATAATTTATTATCATAACCAATAAACTCATTTTCCTACCAAAATTTCTTTTCTTTATTAGGTAATGTTGTGAGGTTGATTGTTCTGATTTCTTCCAGTGATTTTTCAACTTGACATTTCTGTAAGTTCTGTTAGCTTAGTCCTTTACATTGCATTGGCCTATAGTTGATCAGGGGAATTACCACATTGCTTCAAAAAGCTCTCTCGATCTTTCTCGGCTTTGGTTGCTTCTAGGGTACGCGAGGTGCCCGTTCACCAATGAAGGGATGAATATACCGCTGATTTGATGTTTGGCTTTGGAGCAACTAAATGTGCATTGTGGTTATGGTGTAAGCTGCTTAGCAATATATCAAAGGGTTAATAGAGCTACCAGTCTTTATCGACTGCTGTGCGTAGAACATATGCTTCGGATACCTAGCCACCGCCTTCTCTGAAGCACGATGCTGGTTGAGGTGGAAATATGTTTAAGTAAACTTCGGAGAGGTTGCTAAACCAAAACATGGTATCAGACTATGAAGTCAACAATTTATGAAATGATTGCTCCAGGAGTTGGTGAGGACTACCTGGTTCGTGTCTACGCATTTGTAAATTAGAGACTCCGAGTGATTTGGGTTAGAATCGATCATAATGACATAGGTGCACTTAATCCTTACTTTTCTCTCAATGTTGATCTTCAAAATTGTTCCATAATTTTTCAGACCCATCCTTATTTTGAAATATTTAACTTCGCAGAATTATTATTTTAACTCTCTTACTATTTATAGCAATAACATCACGTCATAGTAATGTGGCACAGCAACCTGGACTGACGCACTTTTGTGCCTCGATGTATGTTGGTCAAGAACGACTGACCGTACTTCTTTAGGTTTCGGATATTGACTTCCATTAATTTTCATTGGCAATTCTTTTAGTTGTGCATAAAGATAAATCATATGCAATCACCTACTTTCATTTGAATATACCTGGAATTTATCCCGTCGCAGTTTTTCTATTCGTACCCTGCATAAATTTACAGTTTAAATTTATACGGATGTATAGCCTTATTTGAAATCATCTTTGCTCGTTTGCGGTTCGGGGACTAATAAAGGGAAATTTGAGCCTTAGGCGGCAGTAGTGTTAAGTCACTCAGTCATTTGCAAAGGGGAACCTGGCATTTAGGATTATCGGTTCAAGTTTCCATACCACATTAGCACAATGAAATAGTTCTTTTCATACAAATCCCAAAGTAATAGTAATAACAGTATCAGTAGTTGTACGTATAAAAGGGAAACAGAGATAAGGAAGTTTCAATAACTAGATTCTAAAGAAATAATGAAAGTGAATGGACGTGCACCAATGCAAACGATTTTGGACCATGACCTTCAGTCTCTAACCACTGGACACGATAATCATGAGGACCCCAACAATGTAGTCTACACCTATCAACATGACTAGATTCAATTACCAACAACTTCGTGGACTGATGCCATGTTTTGGTTTGGCCGCCCCTAGCTTTCTTCCAGTCTACTCTCACACCGGAAAGCATCGCCCAACGAGGTAGATGGTGGTTGGGGGTACGTAACACATCCCAACCGTCTCATTTGATGAAGATTTACTTACTCGTTATTCGATTTCATATCCTTACCTAGTAGCCTGTTCCTAACCCAGACATTACTAACTCTGTGGTCCCAAAATACATATCATCGTGATGCATATATATTTGATATGGATATGTAAACTAAGCAACACAGACGGCATCGAATGTCTAACTTTTATGCACCGCCAACTGCTATCATTAAGGTACACTGGACTTTAAATATTATGTTTCATTAGTAGTTATGCAGTTTAACTATCAGTTGTAGCACCTCACGGTTTCTATATGAGTCTTAACAGTTTGTGACGCTAGGTGACTTTTTTAACTGGCTAATCGTTTGTACACGCTTGATAACTCTGATTTACTATTAGTTGTAGCATTATATACCCATAAAATAACCGAGCATACGAATGTCGTGAAATGGTTTAATAGACTTCTTTCCTGTAAACCAGTACGTTTCTAAGGTGTGCACAAGTGTCGAGCATCAAACTTAAAATTTTGAAAAATCATTTACTTATCTAGTGGCAAGCATCTGGCCATAATAACAGTTACCATGATACGAAAATTTTCAACTTTAACCCATCTTTCTAAAAGAGCATTCGGGGTGAAGTCAAATTCAGTTTCTCAATAAGTTGCAGTGTTATGTTTTTGAACAGTCGTTCGTCAAATGAGCTTACGTAAAAGTGCGCTTGAACTTGTTGCGAAAGTTACGCACTTGATTAGACGTTCCATGATTGTTAGACATGGTAGTAGCTCGAAAAAGTAATAATAACTATTTATAAGCAAGGGTAGGTAAACGGGTAGTCTTTTTGTCTGATGGCACTTTTTCATGATTTATACTGCTTGAACTCTTTATAAGTGGTTTTGTCATGAGTCATAAGCTTCTAAACTCCAAGCAGAATCAGATTATCCTTCTATTATCTGTTTATTATTCATATATGCCATTAAATTTCCTCTGTTTATTTCAAATCGCTGTGTACTTCAGTCTTGTATTTTTAGGGATGGGGATATTTCTTACAGTGTCAGGCAGTTCCACAGGTTACATTCCAAATAGATCTCAAGTTCTTCCTCCATTAAGAGGAAGCTTTCCGTTAGATCATCATGGCGTATGTAAAGTTGCTATGTTGGAATGGACTCAATGTATGAAAAAGAATCATTGGAATAATTCTTTATGTAGATCTGAAGCGGCCGGTTATTTGCGTTGTCGAGCAGAGAACAATTTAATGAATCCTGATGAAATCTCCTTGCTTGGATTCACTGAAGAAGAATGGAATCAAACTAATAAACATTTCGATAGTAAAACGTAACCACTCTTTGTTTCGTAGACAAATAACTAAATACAAATCTGATTTTAAAAAATGCAAGTTATTTTTTTCATAGTAAATTGCGGACTACACTTTTGGGGACAAAACACAAATAAAAGTTGTTTAAAGCTAATTATGATATTAGTGAAATATCAGAAAAGTAAGTACCGAACAAAACAACGGTATTGCAATAGAAATAAACAACGAAAAAGCAACATAATGACATTAAGACTGAAACAATTATCATCTGGAGGACAAAAATGCTTTAGAATGTGAATTAATATTAAGTTGGTTAAGTTAAAAGCTTTCGAGCAGATGTTGGAGCTAGCAAAAGTAGCAAACCTTCTAGTCTTTCCAATAGATAATTGATTGGACTGAAAAACCAGTTGAGAGTCTGTGAAAGAAGGAAAATTAGTTGGTTTCAGAATCTAAACGGTAGTGTCAATCAATGAAACGTCAAGCTAAATTGTTCACTATACTGTAAGCCCGCATAATCTAATAATCATTAGTACGTAAATAATACCATAAAATAAATAAAAGTGCAACTTAACAAACTAATATTTTAGATATGAGGTAAATAATCGCATCCATTACGTGATCAGTCGTATCCAATGCTGTGTAATACAGCAGTTGATTGACTTTATCATTTAAGTAGTTTAGAAATACAAGATATGTAAATGACAGTTTTCTGTTGTTTTTCGAGTAGATATTGAAACTTCAAATAGTAGTGGAAATTATACCAAACTTATAGTCCCGTTTAAACTCACCTTACTAGAAAGTGATCCCATTTGTTCAGGGTAGACATGAGTTAAACATGTAAGTATAGCTGTTAAAGAGCATAGAGCCGCAATAAATAGAATAAAAAATGGCACATCTTTTTTCGGATACACAGATAGTGTATGAAAACCTAAATATAAAAAGATAGCACAAAGGAAATTCGTTATGATACATATGTATTTCTTTTAAAGTTATGGGTATGTACAAAAAGACTCATGACATTTTATAATAAATAAAGTATTACACATGGTAATAAATCTAGAGCTTCACATTGGTTGTTGCAAAATAATACGGGCGCCTTACTTGTAATTTTGACGGTAATATTTTCCATAAACTTTCAGACATAAACTCAAATTTAATGCACTCAAGCTTATAATTAGAATTTACTTGACGCATTTTAATACTGAGCTTGTTTATCATATCTATTCATATAAAGATGACTATAATTTTCTCAAATGTAGTCATGTAGATTAATTTCTCCATTAAAATATGTTTTTATTATTAGAATGATAATTTCTGCTGTAATATGGTTGCATTTAGTTCATGTCAAATATGACAATCCACCAACTAGAACTTAGCTCTAATTCCAGAATTCGTGATCGTTTTATTTTACCAAGCACGAGAGATTTCTTCTCGTTCATACTTGTAATTGAAAATAGGAAGCTACGTTTTTAGCCAAAAATATTTATCATCATCTGTTGTGTAAATTCCATTCACTTTCATACAACCAAGTTTTTGGAAGTAACGAAAAAACATCGCACGTCAAGGCAGTCGGTCGTTGAGCATAATTAACATGTGTCCCAGCCACCTCAACTGATGAAGTTTCACTACGTCATCAATAGATTTGCCATCCTTACCTAGTACCCGTTTCCCAACAACTGCATAATTTACTCGGTGGTCCCAGGATATACGAGCAATGTTTCGAAGACATCTATGATCGAATACTAGTAATCCACGAATATCATTTACTCTTACCGGCCATGTTTCACTGCCATAAAGTAGGACGGAACGAACTGCTGCGCAGTAAACCCGTCCTTTGGTTGATAGACGGATATCTCGCCTATGCCATCAATGTCAAAAGCTAGTCGAGCCTTCTGTATTTGTGACACACCATACTACAAGGGCTGATGCGACTCCCAAGTGAAGCGGTCGGCACGCTCAACCACTTCACTCCCTATCATTAGTTCGGGTGTCAATGCAACCCAAACCTGAAGCAACACTTTACATTTCGAAGGGGAGAATCGCATCCCGAACATGATTGCATTGTTGCTTAGAGTGGTCAGAAGACTCTGCATTTTGTCAGCGTCTTCGCCAAATAAAACTACGTCATCAGCATATTCTAAGTCAACAAGTGAACCTCCCGGTAGAAGTTCAACCCCTGGAAATCTAGACGAGGAAAGTGTTATCTCTAGAAGTACGTCAACGACAAAGTTGAACAAGAATGGAGAGAGTGGACAGCCCTGACGAACACCACTTGAGGTAATCAATTCTGATGACAGTTCACCATAAGCTCTCACTCGACCAGTTGTGTTCGAGTAGAAAGCCTTTACAAGGTTAATGTACTTCTTTGGTACTCCTTTCAGTGACAAACACTGCCATAGAACCTCACGAACAATAGAATCGAATGCCGCCTTAAGGTCGAGAAATACTACGATTGTGGGGCATCTGAACGTGTGTCTATGTTCTAGAACCTGACGTAGTGTGAATATGTGGTCTATACAACCACGTCCACGTCGAAAACCGGCCTGGTTTGCTCTAGTCTGCTTTGGTTAAGCGTCGAAGTATTCTTAAAGTTAATATTTTAGACACTATATTAGTCAAACTGATTCCTCTGTGATTGTCACAAGAGGATTTTGTCCTTTCTTATAGACTGTAGCAATCACTGATTGAGACCAGTCAGATGGGATTACCTCCAGTTCCCAAATTCTACCTAAGACCTCAGTTAATCTCACTGCTAATACTGAACCACCATCCTTAAAAATCTCAGGAGTAAACCTGTCAGGGCCTGCTGCTGTCCCTTGCTTCAGATTTCCTATGGATTTTTCAACTTCGTAAAGAGTCGGAGGACCTAAATTAACTTGCCATTCGGGTTGACTGGAGATCGTGGGAAACCGAAGTGTGACTGAAGGCCCGTTGAACTGATCCCTAAAGTGTTCTGCCCATCGATCCAATCTCCTGGATTGAGAATGAATAATATGTCCATCTTTCTCTGAGATTGTTTCGCTAACAGTCGGGTTCCTAATACCGGTTTTCTTAACAAGTCTGAACAATTGTCTCCTATTACCTATTGCCGCTGCCTTTTCCATCTCTCTTGCTTTCGCTACCCACCACTGTTCGCGATCATTGCGTAGGCTTCTTGTCAACTTGCGCTTAAGCTGACTCCGCTCTTCATTATTTTCAGATGGAGTCCTGAAGGACCAACACAAGCCAGCCCTTTGCAGCTTTCTTTCATACCACGACACCATGTTATACACTGACCACCTCTCCGCTTTTTCCAATTAGTCCCAGAGTCGGCATTCTCTGGGACGACATTCGTAGAACATGTCCAAGCCACCGAAGTCGGTGTTTCAAGATGGTGACATCGATTGCATTGTCATCTCTGTGCCCTAACACACGATGCCGAACCTCTGCATTACTGACATGGTGTTGCCACTGGATGTCAGAAATCCTTCGGAGACAGCGATGATCGAACACAGAGAGTCGTCTAACGTCCTCAACTCGGAGAGGCCAGGTTTCACAAGCATTGAGCAAAACTACTCTCACCGACGCCTTGTAGATCCGACCTTTTACAGCCAGACTAACATCACGAAGGCGCCGAAGGTGTCCAGATTGGCATAAGTCGCTCTGGCTTTCACCATACGTACATTGATCTCACCACTCACACCACCACCAGCACTTATGTAGCTACCTAGAAACACGAACTTCTCGACTACTTCTATCTGCTCACCATCCAGGGTGAGTACAGGATTAGAATCCTGCCAGTCTTGTAGAAGTACTTTGCACTTCGAAGGTGCAAAGCACATACCATACCTACGGACACTGATTTCCAACTGATTAAGTGCGGATCGCATGCCTTGGACATTCTCGCACAATAAGACAATATCATCCGCATACTCAAGGTCGAGAAGTCTTTCTCCAGGCAACAGATCCACACAACCATTACTTACATTCATCAGAGCTGTTTCCAGAATGTCATCGATGTCAAAGTTGAAGAGGAATGGTGAGATTCGGCAACCCTGCCTAACTACACTGCTCGAATGGAACAATGGAGAGAGGTGGTTCTATGTCCTCACTCTGCCTGAAGTGTTTCTATATAGGGCTTTTAGGATGTTAATAAACTTCTCAGGCACACCCATCTTCAATAGACAATCCCACAGAACAGTCCTATCCAACGAATCGAAGGCAGACCTGATGTCAAGAAACACTACGATTGTTGACCTTTGATAAGTATGGCGGTGTTCTAACATTTGGCGGAGGGTGAAGATATGATCAATACATCCTCGACCAGAACGAAACCCAGCCTGCTCCTCGCGAGCCAATCTTTCTAGGGTTTTGAACAACCTACGAAGTATGACGGAAGCCAATGGCTTGGACGCAATCGGAAGTAGACTTATCCCCCGATAGTTGTTACAGAGACGACGTGAACCCTTTCTAAGATAGGGACTTCCGCCTCATTTGGATGGTCAGTCGTCACCGGTCATGGACGGCAGAACAGTCTGACCGATGTTGCCGGAGCAGTAGGCCAGTTGAACTGCCCTTCGAAAAATTCTGCCCATCCTGTAAGATGTCGATTGATGTTAGTGATTGGCATCCCGTCATCCTCGCAGATTGTTTCGCCCACACCAGACTTCTTGCTGCCAGTGGCTCGGATGAGTTGAAAGAGCTTCCGGTAATTACCAGATGCAGCTGCTGCTTCCAACTCATTAGCACGCTTCCACCACCAGGCCTCTCGGTCCTTACGCAAGCTTTGCCCGATTTCCTTACGTAACATCCTTCGTTTGTGGTCAAACTCACGGTCACTCGGAGTAGACCGACGGGCTTCAATGAGTTGTAAGGAACCAGAAGAAACCCAGTGCTTATAAGCGGGACGTTTCGCAAACCCACAACTGACTGTTCCCGCCATTTTGATGGGGTCATGCAATTGCAACCAATGCTCATCTATGCTTTTCGGTGGAATGGTAGCTGGCCTAGAAACTAGCTCGGTTCGATACTTACTTGCAACAGAAGTTGCAACCAGCTTGCTAACATCAATCCGTTGGTGGCGGTCACTTCGTTGTCCACTGAAAAGTAAGGTAAGATTGGCGCAGACCAAGGCATGGTCAGAGTGCAGATAGGTACTCCAAAAGGAGCGGCAGTCTTGTACACAACCACGCCAGCGGTAGCTGATTGCGATGTGATCAATCTGAGTCCAGGCTTGGGATGCAGAGGGAGGACGCCAGGTGGCACATCGGCGATGACTGTGCCAACAGTTAGTGCTAGCCAGAAACAGGTTGTGGTCTGTGCAGTTGCAGTAGACGGTCCCCGTTATCTGTCCTGCGACCAACAAGTCCCCATCGACCACCTAAACAATCCTCTTCTGTGCCTAGAAGTCCAACCTGAGCATTCAAGTCTCCGGCTAGTACCACAATATCGGTCGAACGCACTTTCTGGAGAAGAACAGATAACTGGTGGTAAAATTCATCCTTGATTGCATCCGGACTGCAATCTGTCGGAGCATAGGCGATGACGAAAAGACATCGTTTCTCACGCCGATTTCTTCTCACTTTGATGGGACTTTCTAATCTAACAGCACATAACCGACTGTTGATGGGGATCCAATCGATTAGTGCTGCCTCAGCTCTAGCGCTTAGTGCGACACCAACGCCAGCAAGACCAGACGAAGATGCCACAGGGTCCCCGGATAAGCGCACGTAAAACAAGCTTTTCGAAGCGACAGATGGAGAGCGAATTTGTAGTACTTCGCCAGAGTCTTGAATACGGGTCTCGGATAGACAGCAAACATCGAAATTAAGACTTTGCAAAGACATAGCCAGGTCTATCTGTTGTCCAACGTGCATAAGTGTGCGAACGTTGAAGGCGGCCAGTTTGAATGGTGCACGTGGTTTCAGAAAAACTCCTTCAGTACTCATATTCAGTGGTAACATACAATTTTCAACCGGACAGTGACTACAGAACGTTTAGATACAGTCGAATTTCCACCAAAGTCGACCTGCTGTTTAAGTCGAAAAAATAATTATAAACAGAGCGGAAATAAAAGAGGGTGAATAATGACGTAGTAAATAATAATAATGCGAGTCACTTGATTGTTATTTGGAGCGAGAGGAATGTTTTTCATAAGTAGATAGTTTATCATGTTTTTGTGTGAGGGCTGAGATACTGTCCGGGCGCCCAAACCGAAGCAGGTGGTTATCTTATGGGGCCACTCCCCGAGCCTTTGACCTAAAGGTCTAACCCACAAGGCAGTGGAACATCGTGAGGAAATGCAGTCCCATGGTAGCCGGGGACCAAGGAATTGGTTCGTACGCCATTTGTTCCCGCAGGATACTGGAGCCCATGTGCACCATTGGTTTGGGATCCGGTTAAAGGGCCGGACATTCGCTTTTCGTCCTCTCATTTTCGTAAACAACACCCCCGCCATGAGAAGGCAGTGAGTAGGACTTCCCTGGCAGAGGCTTTATACGCGTGGCCGTGTGACAGTATTTCGAGAGGGAGGGCGAACCCACCCCGCTCTCGGCCATACCAGAGCATTTGGGGGCCGAAAATTTCTTATGTCAACTTTATTGGTCGAAGCACTTAGACATGAACATCTTACACCTAAAAGCCTGGATATATTTTAGCACGTTAGTGATGGTAGCACTAGTTTAAAGCCAGAACTCTCAACATCTCGTCTTTATAGGAGGAAATGATATCTTTATCTATGAAGGTATGTTAGTTGTTTCTTAGTAAAAATTGTGGATTTTTTCACGCCTGTAATTTATACTGCGATTTTGAGCTGTGAGTAAGGTCAACTTTACAATAAACCGAAGTGTATCTCCATAATCATTGACAAAAGTTTTTCAATTTCCAGCCCGTAAATTTCATTTGAAGTTTAAAAAGTAGAGCACAATATCATTAATAAAACTAAGAACATGATTTACAGACTTAATCCAATAAGCCAATTCTCCTACGAATTATAACTATTTTTTACGTATTGCTTAACCTATTTCTAATAGTTCTGTATTCGATAATATCTGCCTTTACTGCGAAAGAAATAGCAACATTAGATCTTAATTTCCGATTAAAGGTGGGTTCATAAATGATTCTTCTCACAAACGTTTAAGATTATAATGCTAGCTGGTTGAAATAAAACATATCAAACAATACCGTGTTTTCCAAGAGAGGATTCAACAAGTGATCTATAAAACAGTTAATTGAATTCAACCACGTAAATGATGTAGTTCACCAAATATATTTTGACATCATTTATGAGACTAGAATTTCATTTTTTAAATTTTATTTGAACACAAATATTGGTAAAAGGGGGCACCAGATATATATATGCGCCACACATGAGACTAGAATGACAAAACAAAAACAAAGTATTCATACTTGGTAAAAGTTCTCGATCGGTCGCTGTAGTTGAATGGGGATAAGGATAAAAGAGGTTTCCTTTTTCTAGAGGATATGGAATGAGTCGAAAAGTTCCCTCCCATGTACAATATAATAAATTAATTGCACCTTCTACAGCTTTCCAATGAGCTAAATGAAAAAATGCATATGCTATGGCTTCAGAATCGCCACGTTTTAAAATGTGCTCTGTAGGCAATATTAGAGGTTTCATTTCAAGAAGGTACTGAAAGAGAATTTAAATGAAACAAATCCAGTAAATATGTGATTTTTTTTTGTTTAAAAGTAGTATAGATTTGTAATATGGTATTTCGATTCGTAGAAAACGAATTGGTCAGTAGAAAGAATGCTTTGAATCATGACTGATTGATTTATTCTTTCATAAGTCTTTTCGTTTTTTGACTATTATCAATATCAAGAGATATCTTTGTTGTTTTTACTAAGAGATAAATAATAAGAGTAAATGCTAAAACGGTAATTAGGATCGCAGGAGGTTTGTGTTCAGTTAAGTTGCGAATTCTTCCGTCTGAATAGACCAGATTAATTAAAGGGTGCGTAAAAATACATCACGGAATTACTACCACTTAATGGATATTACTTTCAAGTCATGAGTTTAATTATTAAGACAGTCATTTAATGTAGTCAAAGCACTATTACAGTAATAAATTCCCGATAACAGTTTACCCTAAGAATATTTAAAATACGAAAAAAGCTATTGAAATTTATCTAATCACCTCACCGTGTTCGCTCAACTTCAAATAGGATGAGAGGTGGCTTAAAAACGTACATGACAAAAATCAAATAATTAAGTAATCTTTGTGAGATACTGAAGTGGATAAGTTTTAGAAAAAGTAACCGGTTCTGGACTTTCATCATTAATGAGTAACTGAATAGACTGCACTACAATTCTGTAGAAGGTTTGTAGATACTAGCGATTATCTTTCATTCAATGTATTTGGTTAAAAGTTAACCAGTGTAAGGACGTATGCTTGGAAGCCCAGTGAAATCTAACGAGTGTTCTAAAGGAGATTTTAAACGACACATTTTTAATTATCTGGTTATAGTTTATTTGCGATGTTCCCAATTACGCGGAGGAAAATTAGAAACTAATACAAGGGTTTCTGTAGCCGAGCATAATGAATAGTTCGGACTGGATTAATATGTTCGATATACATTATCACGAAAGGGAAATATTTTATTCAAGTAATTTGACTATAGCAGAAAACAGTAAGATGAAGTTCTGTAAACCATTAGCTAAGAAAATTACAATTGGATGAAGACTGAAAACGCAACTGATATGTAATGTGTTTTTTCTTAACAGGAATTCAATTTACACAGGTGATTCTCTGATCAAAGTAACTCACACGAAAATAAACATAAGTCACCTGTTAGCTACACTTCTAGCATTTGCTTCACAGCTAAAATGGAATTAGACAAATTTAAGACTGGTACTAAATATCGTACAATGCTTTTAACCGACTGCATCATGATACAGAATGTAAACAGTTCGGTTAAGTAAGTACTCGACACATTTGTGGGAGTGTCAACAAAATACTGAACTTAATTGACAAGTTCTTTCAGTGCTCTAACAGTATGTGACGATATTGTGCACATAACAAGTATAATGTACAAACCTTTGTAAACAGAGAGCAAACAAATATTAACAGCAGTTTGCACTTGTTCGGCTGTTAGTTTTTTCAAACTATAAGCTCCTTATGAATTAAGCTACCAACTCATCTAAAACTGACCTGACAGTTTCTTCTTCCTGTAATAATGGGGATGTGACAACTTGAACTGATGTATACATGTCAATAATGCATATGACTAACTGATTACTCGCACGTTTGGATTTCGAATCATAATAACTGTAAGAGTCAGTAATACTGTCCGGGTGTTCGAACTAAAGTGGGTGAGGCGGAATATGAATCTGACTAAAAAGTCGAATGCCTAGAAAACTGGACCACCGCTTTATTTGAAGTACAGTGTTTAAAACTAAGATTACAAAGGATCCATATAACAGTGAACTCACTTTTGGTACATGTGGATTAAATTCAACAGCCCGATGAATAGCTTCAACAGCACTCAGTTCAGCTGCATTCAAACCCCTACGTGACGCTAAGTCCGGAGAAAATCTAAATAAAAATTTATAACATAAGATTTTAGTATGACAAGTTGTCAAGTAACAGCAATTACATATGAAAGGTGAAGCGGTTACTATTATTCTCTTCCCCATGACTGAATTTTGCTCCGAAACCTATTAGCTGTTATCTCTGATCCGACTGGTCGGCTTCAGGCCATTCACATAGTTCAGTTTCGACAAAATATTTTTGCCACTTCAAACGCAACTTGCTGTCTCCGTTTCGATCGCTCTTTTATTGGTCTCATAAGTAGCAAACGCATAGCAAGTCCACGTTACAGCCACATTGAAAACAATGTTCAGCTAAGCAATATAACAAAGAAAAACTTACTTTTCAGATACTTGTCTGGCTTTAAGTAAAGCTGCAGTGTAACATATAGTAGCTGATTTCGGATAGTTGATATCTGAAAAAGGATAGAAATGGAGCGAAATAAAACTATGTTAGTCTGAAGTTTTATACTTCAAGCAAGTATTATCAAAAAAATTACCAACAGGAAGAGCAGTGGATTCAGAACGTTAACATCAATAAACAGGACATTGAGAATATACTTTTCAAATAAAAACGGACTGAACTGCGAAAGAGTTTGTGTAAAATAACGTTACATTCACCATTTAAAGAAAGATTAAGAATGAATGGGTCTACTTCACCTAAAATCGATTTTAGCTCACATCCATAGAATTTGATTACGATTGCATAGAGGAGCTAATGTCGCCTGGACTTGCGAACACAGACCACAGAAAGGGCTAATGGCTTAATAGATTAATATCACCTATTAGTCTGACCGCACCCACTTTAGGAAATGCATCTCTGTGAAAACGTAGCATATTTCCCAATTACTCCAGTTAGTCTAGTTTCATAATACTTTTGCTCATAAAGTGCTATGGAGAAAAAAATAACTGTAGAACCAGTCAGTCAGTCAGTATCAACGTAGAACTTCGTACGTACGTACATCAGTTCGAGTTGCCACACCACATTAGCACAGAGATGCAGTTGTCCATTCAAATCCCATAGTGGTAGAGGTAGCAAGAGTATAAGCAGTAATCGGGAAGATTAGGGTTTGGAGATGTTACTTATAGAGTATAATCCAGTGAAATAAATTTGGAAAGAGGAAAAAAGGGACATGAAGAATTCAGAAGATTAGAATTTGAGAGAACACAGAGAGTGGATGCACCTGCGCCATTGCAAACGATTTTGAGCCATGTCATTCAGGGTCTCTAACCATCGGTTGCTATCATCTCGCGGTCCCCAACCAGGTAGTCTACACCTACCAACATGACTCAGTTCACTTGTCAGTGACTTCATGGACTTGTGCCATGTTTTGGTTTGGCCGCCCCTAGCTTTCTTCCAACGTACTCCTATACCACTGAACATAGCACGTCGAGGCAGTCGGTCGTTGGGCATACGTAACACGTGTCCCAGCCATCTCAACTGATGAAGTTTCACTACGTCATCAATTGATTTGCCATCCTTACCTAGTACCCGTTTTCTAACAACTGTGTTACTTAATCGATGGTCCCATGATATACGAGCAATGTTTCGAAGACACCTATGATCAAATACTAGTAGCCTACGGATATCCTCTACTCTTACCGGCCATGTTTCACTGCCATAAAGTAGGACGGAACGAACTGCTGCACAGTAAACACGTCCTTTGGTTGATAGACGGATATCTCGCCTACGCCATAAATGACGCAAGTTGGCAAAAGCTATTCGAGCCTTCTGTATCCGTGCTGAGATTTCGTCACACACCAGACCACAAGGGCTGATCAGACTTCCAAGATAAGTGAAGCGGTCGACACACTCAACTACTTCACTCCCTATCACTAGTTCGGGTGTCGATGTAACCCAATCCTGAAGCAATATTTTGCATTTCGAGGGAGAGAATCTCATCCCGAACATGATTGCATTGTTGCTTAGAGTGGTCAGAAGACTCTGCATTTTGTCAGCGTCTTCACCAAATAAAACTATGTCATCAGCATATTCTAAGTCAACAAGTGAACCTCCCGGTAGAAGTTCAACCCCTGGAAATCTAGATGAGGAAAGTGTTATCTCTAGAAGTACGTCGACGACAAAGTTGAACAAGAATGGGGAGAGTGGACAGCCCTGACGAACACCACTTGAGGTAATCAATTCTGATGACAGTTCGCCATAAGCTCTCACTCTACCAGTTGTGTTCGAGTAGAAAGCCTTTATAAGGTTAATGTACTTCTTTGGTACTCCTTTCAGTGACAAACACTGCCATAGAACCTCACGATCAACAGAGTCGAATGCCGCCTTAAGGTCGAGAAATACTACGATTGTGGGGCATCTGAACGTGTGTCTATGTTCTAGAACCTGACGTAGTGTGAATATGTGGTCTATACAACCACGTCCACGTCGAAAACCGGCCTGATTTTCTCTAGTCTGCTCTTCACGAGCTTTGATTAGGCGTCGAAGTATTATTGAAGCTAATATTTTAGACACTATATTAGTCAAACTGATTCCTCTGTGATTGTCACAAGAGGACTTTTGTCCTTTCTTATAGACTGGCACAATCAGTGATTGAGACCAGTCAGATGGGATTACGTCCAGTTCCCAAATTCTACTTAAGACCTCGGTTAATCTCATTGCTAATACTGGACCACCATCCTTAAAAATCTCAGGAGTAAACCTGTCAGGCAAGATTTGAATGTGACCACCTTGGTCTCTTGTGCTGTTACGGGTATGAGGGCTGATATCACTTCCCGGCTGCCCACACCGTGGAAGGGTATTTCTTGAGGAACCTGAAAAGGAAATTGGATTAGTGTTGGTCTTGACGACCTGGGAGCGTGACCGCAGAGCCCAAGGGACAACTGCTTGAGGCCGGTCGCGCACGGCCTTTTTGTGGAAGATTTTTGACGTGTTAGCTCCGTTCTTCAAAGGGCCTTACCGCCGGAGACGGAAATCCGTGAGGTAAGGTGAGGTGTGACATTTTTAGGGTCGACCTTTTCTAACCCCACCCCTCCTTGTGGGAAGGCAGCATCGCTGTCATGCTGGATGTCCGAGGGAAACACCTTACTGCTGTCACACCCCTCTACAGTCAGCAGTACGACTTCGCCCTCAGACCTTGAGTTGCTGCTTTTAGTCTTACCGTTCACCAATCGACCTGCCTGGCATGGTAGAACCTGCAGGAACATATGTTCCAGCCAATATAGCTCGGTTGGGTCATCACGATAGGCAAGCCCGACCACCGCGTCAAGGTAGCAGCTTCGATCGGGAACTGTAGAACCAAATAGTCAATAAATTAAATCAGATATAAATAAACGTGTTTGATTAGAACGTCTCTAGAAGATTGATGTATCCCTTTTTAATAGACCTTTCGACAACAGAAAATGACATAAAATTTATCGATCAATGAGGTCAAGAAATACGATGGCTATTGAGTTTTTAAGTATGCTTATGCTCTTGAACCCCATGAAGAATTTTTGTTTCCAAATGTATATGTACAGGTCTTAAACCAGTCTGATTTCCTAGGGTTTGATCACCACGAGCTCTGTCAAAGGTATGAATAATGATAACAGTTGATGTTTCAATCACAACACTGGTCATTTAATTTGGTGTATTTTTTTCAAAAACTATACTTTTTCAAATACTTGAGAAATTGAAATTGGTGACCAGTCTTACGGAACAATTTCTAGCTCTTCGAATCCAGATACTATCTTAGTCAACAAACGGTGATGCAGGATGAAAATAACCAATAACTTGGTAGTGGCCTTCGAGTTACACTAACCTTGATTAGTCTTTTAGGTTAGGTTGCTAACAGATGTCACTGCAGCTTTTACAAGAGATAAGACTTCCTCAAAATCTAGGACGCAGAATCAGTCTATGACGTTAACGATTGTTGATTTGAGTCGTGCTTGGAGATAGATTTCGTGGTTCGAGTTCATGCCAAGGTCAAAGAATAAAGTTAGAGACCCATTGGTGACCGCTGAAAATCGATCCCAGTAATGCTGTTACATCCTTTGCATTCCTCCGATCCTATACCTTCAAAGAGCTACTACTCGTCTTATAGAAGTACTATACATTCAGAAACTGTAAATTACATACCCTACTTATGGAAACCAATAGATAACTGATTAAATGTGATTTGAACAGGTTGTGTTGTCGCACAGCAAGACGATGTATGTCAGAATAGCAAATTTACATTACCACTTCCCTTCATTAGAGCTGTTTACGGAATGACATCGATGCCAAAACTGAAAAGAAGTATTGTATATAGGGAGACACTACCTAAAAGTCAGTCAAATGCAACGCAGAAACCAGCACATATGTGCATCGGTTCAAGTTGCTATCCAACATTAGCACAACGAGATGAAACTATTAAGAACTAGCAAAAGCATCAGAAGTAGTACTCTATAGAACTTATTGTTAAGCTGAAACAAAGGAGAGAGGATGGCGTATGCATCCATCCTGTTTGAGAGATATGTGTACAGAGCCTTCGAGATGATAATAATAAAATTATTTAAGTTCTTTGTAAAGGTAGGGACGAAGATTTTTCATTCCAAAATGATAGGACAATCTGTTACTCAAAAGTTTTTCAACGAGCTAGTCAGTCTCGTAGCCAAAAGTTCTCCGTTATCCCCAAAAAAGGCTAAAAGTTAGTCATTTAAGACTGGTGACGTTCCAGCAGTTGAAATTCTTTATGAATCTCGGCTTTGTTGTGTGGGTCAGTAGTCACGGACCAAAAAGTATATCAGAAAGTGCTCGACGTTGATTTGGCAAGAGACCATTTGAATTATTCTTTGTATAATTCTGTCCAGTGTTCGATTTATTTTGGAGGTAGGAAAAACTATCCCCATTTCAAGGTAACAGTAACGGTGGAAATATCGGTTAGGAAAATTAAGCCAAATGAACATTATGTGCTATACAGTTAACAAAATACTGCAATATCTATTGAGTAGCCACTAAATAATTAAAATATATGATCACTATCTTATTTTCAAAGAACCTACCATCGTATTTAGCTAGGAAAGCCTGAGCATCAGCATATTGCTGGGCAGCTAGGTAGCATTCAATAAGATTTTCATGGATATTGAAAAGATTTAAATTTGGATATTCCTTTATAAGCTAAAATTAGCATAGATATTGGGTTGAAATTAGATATAACGTGCGATTTCGTATATATATATATATATATATATATATATATATATATATATATATATATATATATATATATATATATATAGACTTACTTAACACAAGATAGAAAGAATAGTCTATCGCTAGTATGTTAACGGTTGTGAAAGACAAGCATATTAATAGTGCCTAGTACATTAAAACAATATGGATTAATCTGCTCTTAAAAACAAAATTCAATGATTTAGTTTAGAAACCATTAGATGTAAAAGGAGAAATCTCGTGAAGTAAAATCGCTTTCAGATAGGTCTGAAATTCTCATGCGCTACGTGAGATATACTGAGATAAAAGTTCTATTTGACTATATAGGGATTTTTCGTTGGGTCCGAACTACCAGTGTAAGCGTAATAGCTGGTCTGTCTGTAAAATTAATCATTCGATATGACACTTTGTTTGAAGCATGATTATTAAAGAAGTCACTTTTACCCTTCAACAGTAACCATTAGCTGAAAGTATAAAAATATATGAAGCGAAAAGTGAGAAACTGACAATAGACATATAAAATTTATGGAACGAACCCAAATTAACAGCTAAGAGAATGAAGTTGAATGCGATCAGAACTGTAGATGATTTGTGATTCCAACTTAGATTGTGATAGGATTTTTCGCCGAAGTGAAGCTTAGAAAGAAACATAACGACTGTTGTTTGTACGAACCTACAAATATGATCACAGACATTTCTTGACGTTTTCTGAATACAGAATTATAGTTAGTGTTTTCAATTATGCAGAGTTACCTCCTTATATTTAAGCCACATTGTTGATTCTGTGAGTTCGGAAAGTAAGCTATTTGTGGGTGGACTATTTGTGGTATCATTTACCTAACGGTGAGGAGAAAGACGATATACTTATCCATTAAAAATATCCAACTTTCACCACACCCTAACAATCTGCAACGTAACTTTAGCCGAAGATCTTAGACAAGTGATTTATCTGGTATAGAATAACTTCAAAAAACAGTATATCCTGTGAATATCACATGATTAGGTTGTACAGATACATAAGACCGATTAAGGCTTTTAAGTATTAACTCAGGTAATGATATGAATATAAACAAAAGTGATTCAAATGGGATTTTAATTCAATTTGATGTATTTAGTCTTCGAAGAAAGTAGTAGCTAAACAGGTTAATAAGCTGTAATAATTTGAAACAAAGGATAAGATTTATAAGCTCAGTTTTCATTTCATTTCTGCGTAATAGCTAATATCGAATTCAAATACTCTAAAAATTGAAAATAGATAAAAAGAAAGAATAATAACTGCAAGTTGGAGTGATGAGTAAAAACTGAAGTATAAGCATAAAAATATTAGATGTTGAGAACTGATGGATACATGGTTTTTTCTATGCACGGCCTTTAAAATTATCAAATGATAAACAAGGACACGTTATTTAAAACAAAACAGCTTTAAAAATCATGAAACTAATAGTTATTCTGAATTTGATTCATTTCTGAGGATAAAGTTGGAGATAAAACCAGATGTTAGTTATATGAAGGAAGTTCCTAATGAATCATTACAGTTCTTCTGATTATATAATACGTTTTTTCATCTAATCACCACTGACATTGATTTCCTTACCTGGAATTATGGTTTGATTTGAATGACGGAAGAGTTAATAGGAATATCTTACTATGCATACTGCAATGATAAGACATTTGACATATTGCAACTAGCGCGATTCATTAGGAAGATGCACTCATCTCCATTTTTCTGGATGACTATCATTTCCTTTAAATTTACAGGAACGTATTTCTCACCTAGAAATATTAATCTATTTTGTTTTTTGCCTTTTACGTTATTGATTAAAAGTAACAGGTTAAACTAACAGACTTAAGGTAATTTAACCTAATTAATCTAATTACAGAATGTTTCTACACTAAAATATAATGAAAAAGCTTTACAAGTAAACGAGTTAATCACCATAAGAACTTTCTTAACTAAAATATGCACTTATTCTTTAACAATAAATCACCAGGCCAAGTTCATTATTGATTCCTTGAAGGTATATTTCTCTGACTTGAAACATTGCAAGTGAGCACTTATCTTTCAATATATAAATTATAGAATACTGACCATGGAAAATAATGATGCACAGTAGCTAGAAATATTTTCTCAAAACAACATAGAACACATACATCTTTCATCATTTTTATTGCTTCTTTCAATTTACCCAATTTTCTTGCACACATTGCAAGTCGACGTCGAATGAAAACAAATGCATGTATATCTCTCCGATACATTGATTCATGTGCTGGACTGTGGTTTTGAAGCTGTTGAGAACGACGAAGATTTGTCTCAGCAACTTTATATGCTTGTTTGTATACTTTCTCTACCTGGAAGAAAGATATAAACAAGGACTAATACTTAGCAGAAACACAATATATTTAATTCAGTTTACCTAAAAAAACACCGAATAAAGCCATAAAATAACAGAAATTCGACATAAAAACTACATAAAGGAAGTAGAAATTGACGACTAACCGCTAGCTAGGTCATGTCTATTAGTATAAACAATTTCTGCGCCCGTCATTTCAATATAAACATGTCACAAGGAATTATGTTCCGTGAGTTTCTATGTCACTGACTGGGCTGCCACTAAAACAAAGCATTTATTTCTTAAAACATCTAATCACGATTTAAAATGCCGCTGTACCCATGTTTCTCTGGCAGACACTAAAAGTTTCCTTCACAATGTGATTAATATCTCTAAAACACATCTGAAAGGAAGCCAATCAGTTTGTCCCAGTATGTGAACAAATTAACATCAACTGTAAATCTAACTTCGAATTAGAAACACTATCAAAATATTTAGGATGAATTAGTGACTAAATAGTTAGACTCAATGACAGCAAACAAGCAAGAAACAAAGATTTAGTTGAAGATATACTTTGAACATGAGATCAGTTTTAAACGCGAATAAACGATAATACGGTTTTACATCGGAAATCTGAATTTTTACGTTAATCCAAAATGCATGTAGGGTCTGACTTATTTCAAACAAACTGGAGTATTCTTTGCCCCAAATATTATATACCAACTGACAAATTTATAGATTGACCAAATTACGAATTTTGGGATGGAAATCCACGTCTAAGTATGACAATTAATAATTTATTGAAAATGGTAAATACATAGTTATGTTTAGTTCATATACTTTAATTGATGACACCAGTTTATCTATTAAAACTCATCTGGATTACGCTATGATTGATTATTTAGATTTATTTTCTCTTTGCGTTTATACTAGTATCCCCGCTTGGATAGTAATTAGTGTTTAGAAACGACATTTTAAAAATGTTTACTAGTCTGGTGGGCATTTAACATAATATATCCTGAAACCGAGCACAGACACTTATGATAATAGTAATTTTTGAATGCAGGGAAATGTGGATCACTAAGGATTTATGGATGTTAGATTGCTTTGAATGTACAAAGGCCAACAAAATCTTAAATCTAGATTCACTAACAATTTTTACGTCGAGAACAAACATCAGTGAGTAACGAAAATCTATGATACTTAGCAGGTTTAGGCAGCATATAATAACTGCTATGTATACAAAGATGTAAGTGAATAGTTTCATGCACTAAAAAAATATAGTAAGTAAATAACATTAGGACAGATATCTTTCTTTCTTTTATGGTGTAATCGCCTGGCGGTTTCTGTTTATATGGGATAGTGGACCTGATGTTGCTGGAAAACTACAGCAAACCTATCATATTAAAAGGACGATATTGATGAAGAAATATATTGCTACTAGGGTACTGATAGAGCATGCGAGAATACTCCCAACTGTATTAAGATTAGCTTCAAAGTATAAAAATATTGAAAAACTTACAAATATCAAACTTAGTAAGATAAGTAGGTGAATCCAATAGTAATGTTAATGTTGATAGCCGGCCGTGACTGAGCTATAAGAAGGATGAGATCTATGTAAGATATGAATGTTCTAAATCTTCGATGGCTGACAGTTGTCTGTCGTGCTTAAATACAAGGACTATTCCCCATAACAGCTGTTAAAAAGGGACAGAAACCCTCATAAGGAACTGTTATCAACTCGTTTCAATACTCAACAATAACTGGTTATTGCGTACGGTTGTTTATTCATTTTTATTTGTTTATTTAAACACATGAAGATTGGTACGAGAGGGCACCAAATATATACGCGCCACATAAATCATTCAATTTGTGTGAGGGATGAGATACTGCCCGGGTGCAAAACCGAAGCAAATAAAAGCGTGACAACTGGATGTTACGTATGGTTGTAAATTATTAGTATTTCCGATGATACATTAAATACGGAGGCAAATCATCTACCAGTAAACCAGAATGTGTGTACTATACCTTAAATGAAGTGAAAGGAAGGTATGGACATGAAAAATAGATATTAAGTAGGAACTTATAAACTCACATCTACGATGTAGGAGCACTCCTCCTCTGCAAGCAAGATCATTGCAGTTGCACACTCAGGGTTCTTAGCCAAGGCCTCCTTGGTCTTCTTGATTCTTTCTTCGTGATTTCTCTCTCTCCATGAAAGTTGCATAACTTGAAATACTTTCGTACTAAAAAACAACATACTTTCATACTCGGGCTTTCCGCCATCTGCTTCACATGTGAAAAATGTCTGATGATCTTGAGCAGACAAGTTCATATCATAATACGTCAGGGGGTCACGACCTGTTTCGTGAAAAAACTTTCGATACTCCGCCCCCCTAAACAAACTATAAGGATTTCTCCACACCTTACATTCTAGAGGGAATTTAAAGAAATACTAACAAACCTTGCGTAGACGCTAGGTGACCATTAGATTCCACACTATCACATTCATTATCTTCATCACTTCCACCAATGAGTGGATATATGTGGGTCCAAGAAATTTGCTCAATAAACGACTTTCCGTACTTCTTAAAGTACCACCACTCAAAAATCTAAATGTTAAAATGAAAGAGATATCAATACCAAAATAAGCCCCGATATTAAGGAGCTTGTTCCTGTTAGAGCCACATAAAATTTAGGTGACAAAGTATTCAGAAACATTTTTACTACTAAAAAAAGTCGTTTGAACTTAGAACGTACTTCAAACTGCTCTGTCGATAGGTTACACTTGTGGGGATGTATAGTGGGTGAATAATTAAAATTTAGAAGCAAAGAAACGCTTTAAGAAGTCGAAAATTTGTTATTGAACTCCCGTCGGTCTTACAACTGTGAGGACACAAGACCAGCTAAACAGCTGGGTTTTTTTCAAAATGCCGCAAACAGTAAACGCTTTTCCTAAATTTGACCATGAATGAAATTTTTAATCAGCAGAAATACGACGTAACAATCCTTTAAATTTGATACGAAATAGTGTGACCCACAAAAAAGTACCAAACAATATCACAATTATTCCGGGTCCTCTGGTGACCCTATGAATACTTGGACAGGGCCTACCACCTCGGCAAACCTCATATAGGTGGGCTACCTGTCCATTCACATAAGGTTCATACAGAAAAACAGGACGAAGCTCATGCGTTCCAAATTGAAAGCATAAACTGCTTATATATGAACGCCGCGAGTTTACCAAACAAACTGGATGAACTACGTGAACTTAGCAACGCTAACAAGGCCCATCTGATAGGAATATCTGAAACCTGGATATCTTCTCAGTTCTCGGATCAAGAGTTAGCATTGCCTGGGATGACTTTGTTCCGCAACGACAGAAAAATAGGAATTGGGGGCGGAGTAGCCATATACATAAGCTCTTGCTTGGAGGTGCACCAGGTTCACAACCTCGAGTTTAACAATCTTGAGGAATCCATATGGTGCTCTGTAAGGTTGTCTAGTACTTCCAGGTGTCTAGTCGGAGTCATTTACAGGAAGCCAACTGCCGACACCGAGTACGATAGTCGTATGCTGGAAGGACTATCCCGCTCTATCCGTCTCGGTTTCACACACATCCTGATTCTAGGGGACTTTAATCTCCCTAGAGTCAACTTCGCGGAACACACGTACACTGGAGGCGACAACTCAACTGAAGCTCGGTTCTTCAACCTCATCGATAACTTGGGCTTATATGAAAATGTGAGGTCGGCAACTCGTTGGAGAAACAGTCAGACACCATCGCGCTTAGACTGTGTATTCACTAACGAAGAATTCCTAGTCGACAACCTCTCAATCCTGGCTCCTCTGGGAAAAAGCGATCATGCCGTCATAGCCTTCAGTTTTGTCATCAAAACTAAGCTAAGGTATCCCAACAATAATTTGCGATGGAATTTTAAACGGCTGAATGTGCGAGCTCTACATGACCATCTACAACAGGTGGTTTGGGATGTTCACCCTCAAATCGATGTGGATGGTCATTGGGACTTCTTGCTGCACACGCTCTTATGTGCTACAGACCATTCAGTTCCTCAAACGGTTCCCAAAAGCTTCAAGCCACCTACAGTAATCAAGAACCGTACCCTTCGCCTCCTAAGCCGCAAACGGCACTGTTGGGCGGAATACAAACGAACTAATAACGATGGAGCGTATAGGCAATACAAACATACCAGGAACACATGCACGAAGGCTATAAGAGAAGACAGGCTTCAGTACCAAACAAAGCTTATGGACAAATTCGCCTCTAACCCTAGAAGCCTATTCCGTTATGCAGCCTCTCTTCGTCAAGCCAAAACAGGAGTTTCTCAACTGCTAGGTCCTAACGGCCCGACCAACAACGATGGCGACGCCGCTAACCTTCTGGCGGCCCATTACTCTCAAACATTTCAACCGGCTGATATCAACTTTACTCATGACAGTTTCATCTGCAATTCCACAGGACTTTCTGAAGTGGACCTAAGCGCTGACTTGGTGTTCCGGAAACTGCAGCACTTAAGACTTGACACTTCTCCTGGCCCGGATATGGTTCATCCTGCCATACTGAGGGAGGCAGCCTCAATCCTGGCAACGCCGCTTAGCGTGATGTTTTCACACTCGCTTAGCCCAGGCAAACTACCGGAAAATTGGAAGTTGGCTCACATCACACCAATTTTCAAAGGTGGTCGACGCAATGAACCTTCAAGTTACCGGCCGGTAGCTCTTCTGTCGTTACCTTCAAAACTCATGGAGTCCCTGATATGCGACGGTTTAAATGACTACCTACTGTCCTTAAATTTCTTCTCACCCCAACAGCATGGTTTCAGGAAGGGTTACTCTTGTATAACCAACCTGCTGACTGCGGTGGACAGATGGACAAGCATCCTCGATCGCAAGGGAAAGGTTGATGTCATTTACCTTGATTTCTCAAAAGCTTTTGATAAGGTTAACCACTTGTGTCTTATCAACAAGCTCAAACGACTAGGTATCAAACCACCTCTAATCGACTGGCTTACTTCATACCTAAAAAATCGACACTTTAAGGTTAGGGTTAATTTCACTTTATCTCAGGCTATGGAATGTCCTAGTGGGGTCCCCCAGGGCTCAGTACTAGGGCCTCTTCTCTTCTTGATCTACATAAATGATCTTCCTCAACAGGTAACGTCAGACTTATTACTTTTTGCCGACGACGTGAAACTTTGGAGAGAGATACGCAACCAAGACGATACACAGGCACTTCAGGAGGATCTGACGCGACTTCAAAGTTGGGCAGACGATAACGGACTTACCTTTAACACTTCAAAGTGTAAAGTAGTCCATCTGCGACATGTCTCAAACTACAGTTACAACTTAGGAAACTCCTCTCTAGTAGTATCCCAAGTCGAAAAAGATTTAGGAGTCCTGGTGCCCCATGACTTAAAGTCTTACGCTAACTGTGACAAAAATGCCTTCCGAGCAAACCTTGCACTGGTAACGTTTGACGGAAGAACTTTCCATATGATCTTCAATAGTTTCATCCGTCCCCATTTAGAGTACGGAAACATAGTACTCCCCCCCTCACTCCAAAAGGATAAGGTCACTTTGGAGCGTATCCAACGGCGAGCCACGAAATCAGTTCGAGGACTCAAATCTAAGCCTTACGAAGAACGCCTCCGTTCACTAGACCTTTACCCACTAGAATGTAGGCGTCTTAGAGGTGATTTATTAATGGCTTATAGTATTCTTAACACTTCTGGACATCCTCTTAAACACCTACTTAAGCTTAGTTCGAACAATAACCTAAGGGGTAACACCCAGAAACTGGAAACACAACATAGCAAGACGGAATGTAGACACAACTTCTACTCCTTAAGAGTTGTCAAAAGCTGGAACTCGCTGCCGGCCGAGCTAGTCCAAGCGACTTCTCAGGAGTCCTTCAAGAGGCAACTTGACCTATTCTTAAGGACCAAGGACAGCATCGCACTATGATTTACCAATTTCTTTTCCTCTTTTATTGTTAACATACCTAGGTTCCTGCCTGGAGGATTTGGTGATCCCCTGCTACTAGACACGGAAGCCTGTTAAGCGAAAGCTTCTTCTATTCCGTCCACAACCATTTGAACCATTTGAACCATTTGAAATTTTGGACTTCGATACTTTTATTATATGCTAACAGACAAATCTAGAAATTGATTTGTAATATGAGATTTATGCAACAATCAACATTCTCATTATGAAGTTGGTACGCTATAAAGTGCTGAAATTCCAGGACCTCATGTGGTGAATTTGCTCAAGTAGATTTGTATCCTCGTTGTGCTTTCATCCTACATATTCCATTAAGAGGCTGTATTTGAGAGATATGGAGAGTTTTTCATATATGATAAATATAGGGTGCAAGTGAGTAGAATCTCTCCTCAGTATTTTCTCACTGGTAAGTGATCTCGTTTCTGGTGTAGTTTCTCCCCTAAGTTAACCGCCGCAAAATTTATCATACAAGTCTAAAATTTAACACTGAAAACCCATGAACCTCCGGGAATAGAAGGTTAAACTACGATATCGCTTTCGGGGAGAGGCCTTATTCTCGGAATACAAGTGTTTAGAAACGCAACCAGCGATAATTTCCAAACACTTGGTAGTAATAAACTGTTCAATAAAGGTGTTTGTAAGGTGATAACAGAAAATTAAAATTGTTTATGATATTGTGAGTTAGTGGGTTCGTTACATGACGTTTTCGCGCATTACATTTAATGTCAATAATATCCATACATTTCTTCGGTGACTTCAAGCCCTTAAGGAGACCTTCTAAGACCTATTTTCCTTCCATGTCTCTCTAAAATACAAGGCAGAGCAAGTATCAGGGCTACACCATAATTTTGCATTTTTCGCTTCAAAGCCAAAAAGCCACTGGTTTAAAGTGGCGATATGAGGTACTCCGATTTTTGAGACTTCCCTATGTGTGTAGAACATAGTGACAATTACGCAGAACATTCTGTCCTCAAATAAGGTAACTAACTGAGATAGGAAGAGCAAAATAAAGTCGTACTTTGCTGAATTCTTTTTAAGGAAAGAGCGTGGTGAGTATTTCAATTACTCAGGAACAAATATAAAAACGCGGTGGTTCCAATAAAATAGTAGCGTGATTATTACAAAGAAAGCTTATATTGAAAAGTTTCATATTGGGCATCTGAATCACCGCCAGTAGTTCTTCTCGATTGCCTCCTAAAATGGAAGCTAGTTTGTTCCCTACTAACATAGGTCAATGTTGATGATATCCCGATATTTTGCATCGACAATCAACAATAAATACCTGTACGTTTTCGATGATAGCTGGATTAGTTTGTAGTGGCATCGAGCCCTAACCATGCAGTTTTCAAGGCTGAACACGAGACAATCTGGAAAATAGATATTCAATATTTAACGCGGAGAAAAACACAGCGATGAAGAAGGTGGAAGGAATGAATTCAGTTATTTAGAACCGATCGGATGGCATCGCTCAACTTCGCAGTCGTGGTCGCTCTGTACAACTCGCTGCTACCCATATTAAATATATATTGTTCTGTCTCCAGCCTGAATGTGTTCTCCATCATATATTTTTGATCGTTACGACACGATGAGTCAATGTGTACAATGGTGTGACTTCCACGTAAGATCTTAAAGATTAGGCAGTTACATCATAACAAATTTTCAACATTGAGCTTAAGCGTATTATTAGAACGGTACTAATA